CTTCGAGACGAAATGTTTTGGGGCCAAACTTATTGCGTGCCCATTGTGGCCAATGGGGGAGGGAGTGTGCATCCTTCGTGTTTCTGTGTGTCCTTGCCCCGACTGGGCTTTCAGCCTTGTGCCGCCTTCACGGACAGGCCAAACAAAGCCGAGTCCGACCAACACTCAAGAAAAAAACTAAGAAAAGGGTTTCTTAAAGCGAGGCAGGCAAAGAAGCTAACGAAATTATTCAGCAAAAAACACGTCAAAACCTTTCAATTAAAACCGCTTCAGATCGAACATTTTAAGTCTTAAATAAGGGATCTTACACTCTTGAGTTGAATAGAATATTCAAACCAAATAGAGTTTACATATTGGGATTTTGGGTTTTTTTTTAGATATTTTAGGATATGTTTTTTCGAGATTTCAAAGCACCTAAAATTAATTTCGCAAGCTGGTTTCCCATCTTGCACATTTTCTCTAAGTGTAGACTACGGCAGAAGATGGGCAGAGACATGGGGTTGAGGGTCTGGCAGAGTGCTGCTTTGCATTTAATTACGCTTAAAAATTAATTAATTTCTTTTTTGTGTGGCCGGGCGGGCCTCTGTGGAGTGACTTGAGACATAATCAAGCTGCCGCTGCCAAAGAGGACTTCAGTGGCGTCGGCACCCTAATGTATGCTACACTCCCGGCCACTTTTATCTGCCCTGGCATTATCCTTGTACTTGATGCCGTACCACTGCCACTGCCACTGCAGAGCAGGTACACTCACAGGCACAGGCAGAGGCCCAGGCCCAGGTGTGGTGCAGGTGTAAGGTCTGTCCTGTCGGTGGGTGGTGCGCACTTGTGTGTCTTAAATAATTCAAGAAGCGCAGTTCTCGCGGTATCCAACGAACAACAACAACAGCAGCAGCAGCCGCAACAGCTAAGAGCCAGGCCAAGCTTTGTTAAATGCCAAGGATAAATGGCCGTGTCTGGGTTAAGCTGCGCACCACACCACAACGTGGAAGGGCTATGCGTGTGTGTATGTATTGTATATAGCCGCAAGTCCATTATCCTTCGGCTTACAACGCTCAGATATCGCTTTGAAGCGAGAATTATGTATTAATTCCTTAAAATAATTAACAAGCTAAAACTTTTGGCATACATTACACAGCTTGGAATCACTCAATGGGAACGAAAACAGGTTAACATGGAAGGCAACAAAAATGTGTAATAACTTGCCGCACAATTACTCGCTTGAGTACTGGCGACCACCGTAATGTTGTTTAATCGTAACTATTGGCATTATGTGCATTAAATGTGGTAACATTTCTTAATGGACTTTGAGCTCCTTCCCCATTCTTTGTTCAAATGCACCTAAAACAGGGGCAGGTTTATTATCCCCTTATATTTTGTGCTTTTTTGAACCACCTTTCGATGATCTCCCCTTGCCACATTATTCTCTGCAAATGTTTACAATTATTTCTAGACACAAAACAGAGATCCATTTTCGACAGTATTTCGTTTTTCGCAATGAAACAAAGACTACTAAGCGGCTTACAGAATGCAATTGCAAGAAAAAAACAAAATTTTAATAACTCGCCATGGCGCTGTCATAAACAAAAGCGGCAGAGGCTGTAGCAGCAGCAGCAGCAGCAGCAGCCACAGCAACAATAAACCTACAGCAGTGCCAGGCGCAACAACAATTGAGTCAATTTTGCATTTTCAAGGTCCCCCTGGCAGTGGTTTTTGATACCCTTACTAGAGGCGATGCCAGCGAGGGCATGACAATTGATCAAGTCATACAAGACCATAGCTGTCTGCTCATCATTTAATATAGAGCTAACACAGTTTTAAACCATAGTTCCCGTAACTTTCAACAGTAACTATATTTCTGTATTGGAACGCTAGGGCATCTGCTACTTCGAGCTTTTATTTTTCTAGTTAATATTACTTTCGGTGCAGAGTCGAAGGCAACGGAAGCAGCACACGAACACAAACGGACAGACAGACGGACAAAACCTACGGACGGACGAACGGCTTGATGGACTGAATGGGATTTTGTGTGTGTGTGTGTGTGTGTGTGTGTTTGTGCCACCAGCTGCTTCCCATCCTCCTCGGTTTCCTCGGTTTCCTCGGTTTCCTCGCTTTCCTTTGTTGCTGGGATGCACAGCATAAAAGTACCAAATAGAAATAGAGATTTTTGTGTTTACTGCACTTTGTGCTGGAAATTCGCGTTGTTTTTCCAGCAGTTTATTTTCGGTTCATGCATTATTCAGTGAAGCGAAAAACTCTGTTGAATATTTCATATTTTGAATGACCAAAATATATATTATTATAACGGCGTGTATAAGTCTATTAAATTAATGTTCAGCAAAAATACATTGTAACTGCATAGTGGATATATGTATGTAGCTTTGTATTGGAAATGTAAATACCCCGCGTATGCGTAATGTGAAATAAATTGCTTTCATTTGTTAATGGAAATTGATTGTTTGGCGTGGCATTATTTTTAGAAATTCACTTCCAGCGGGTATACAACTGAATTAGTGCTTTGTTTTGTTTCTATAACGTTTTAAAAGCATTTTTTTTTTTGGATAAGAATTGTAAGTAGATTTTTGTGTGCCATGCCTAAACTTTAAGGGCAGTCTTTAATTTACGTTTACAAGTGACTGGCAACATGCCAATCAGTTAAAATGCCACCGGCGCACGCTGTAGTTTTGGCATTGAATGGTGTTGCTCAAATAAAAGTCATGTCATCACAGACACACCGATAAAATAATATATGTAGTTCTAGCAATCCAAAGGAGTGTATCCACATCTTTTATTATAATTTGTTGAAGCAGCTTAAGCACATCCCCCATCTTTCATTGAAGTGCACCATCGCGAAAACATGTCTCCTTTACTGTAGGTAAAAAAAAAACTACCCAAAAAAAGGAAAGTTTCTCAACGAAAACTGCGAACGACCTTGAGGTTACACATTATCCAGCTTGACGCATACTCGGACATGTTTCCTCAACTATAAATATCCGTCGAAGCTACAATTACAAACATACAAAGATACATGCACACAAATACATACATACATGTACATGTACATGTACATGATACATGAATGACTTTGCTCAAAAGCATTTCTTATATCGTATATGTATGTATATTTCTCGCCATTTTTTTTGTGTTGTGTTGTGTTGGTTTTTTGTTACTTGCAAACGTAAATAAATGCCGTATAAAACACATGGCCGTTGGCCTTTTAACGCAGACGTTTTTTCCCATACCCCGAGCAGTGTGGCACAGGAAGCAATTTTGAATGTGTGTTTCGGGTATACATATACGGTAAAAGGTATATGTATTTATGTATGCGGCATGTACATACGTATCTGTGGCTCCAAAGGGCAAAAAATTAAAAGCGCTGAAAGTATAATGCATAAGTAAAAGCCACACAAAGGGCAATAAAAATAAAGCATTTCGCTTGTATCTCATTCACTTTGATATGGACTTTAATATCATTGAAATTATAATGATGTGTGTTTTTATGTACGACCATACAAAAAAAAGAGAAAAGAAAACCGGTCGTAGGGTGAGACTGAGGACTGAGGTCCGATTTCAATCTCTTGCCCCCAAGCCTCAGGACACCCCGACGTAGGGGACCAATTTTCATCGCTTGGTCACCTGAAGCCCCACACACACACACACACACACAAAGAGAATGGATAATGGTGTGGTGTTGGTTTCTGACCGTTGCTTCAGTTTTTGACCCTTATTTAGACACCTTTCCGGCCCCCAAAGTTTTCGTACAATTTGTTCACCTGGCCAATTTGTTATTTATGCTGCGTATATTCGTACGTGTTTATTCTTTATATATGCAAATACCATATCCGTATGCGTATCTATGTATAGCTCTATTGCTGTATCGATCGAATATTTCTTTTTTTTTAGGTTTTTATTTATGCTGTTCAGCGCAGCGCAGCTCTAACGGGGCAGCAGCGCTGTTTACACCCCAGGGTAACAGACTGTTACCAGTACCCAACTCTCTGCTAACAGTCTGACTCTCCTGACTCCAGCTGACTGTTGGCTTGCTCTCACCTGCTCTCACTTACGATCCACTTGGCTCTCGAGTAAGAAGAACTTATGATCCACCCTTGATCCACACTGCTACACTGCGTAAATATGTATGTCCGTAAGAACTCTTTCTACTTTTATCTACTTTTGCTAGTATCAAAACTGTAATCTTAATAAACTAAAGTCTCTCTCTCTCTTGAATGGTGACTGTCTTGGTACTTATACCGCAAGCATTTATTATTGAACCTCTTGATGCTTATTCAATCGAACAGCTGACGGTGTGTTTGTATCTGGAACAATTAGCCAGCCCACAATTAGCGTTGAGATGAGTTGATGCATATTTCAGGAGCAGACCCATCTGAGGCCACTCGCAATTCAATTAATCTCGACCGAGGAACAATGGAGGGCCATTCGCTAATTAAGAGCACGGCCTGATATAATCAAAACAAAACACCAGATAGACTAGCAAAAACACACACGGTGGAAACCCAACCCCTAGGTAAAGGCACATACCGAATACGTGTGCACTCGCAGATGCATCAATTATGTGGCCCCACTAATTTGTCTACATTTTGGATGCCTAAATAATTGCAGACAGTTTTGTCTTTGGGGTGGGGTGTAGATAAGTTGGCATGAACAATCAGGGAACACAAGCCAATATTTGCATTTGGGCACCACAAACCCCCCCACCGAAAGACAGCGTCACATAAACGAATTATGCAAGGCAACAGAGCAGCAACAGAGCAGCAACAGAGCGGCCAACAGAGCAGCCAACGGAATGACACAAGTCGATGGTAAATACTCGTGTGTATGCACATAACTGGATTAACATATACGATAACTTCATCAGCATATATATCCTCAATCGTGGGTATCCTTTCTCTCTCTCTGCCTCGCTCTCTGTTTTAATTAAAATGCGCATACGAAACATATGTATGTATGACAGGGTAGGCACTGCCCTTTACTGCCAGACGTGTAGTATGTACTTATTCCATAGCTGGAACACATCGACAGCTGCTCAGAAAATCGAATTTTTTAGTCGAATTTCCTGAAACACACAACCGATCCGATCCGATACAACACTTTGGAGGCGAGTGAAGAATCCAACAATTATGCCGCAATCCACAGTAGTTTATACAGTCCTTGCTTTAATGCTGATGCTGCACTGCGTCAATGGTTTGTTCAATTTTCAGATATTCGCCGACGACGGTAAGTACATTTTTTAGCTATTAAACAACTTATGTAATTTAAGAAGATTCCCTACCCCCCCATAGCACATCCAAATAAATGTGTGATTGATGGTAAGGCAGATACTCGTTTGATTCTCGACAGTGGCAAATCGGATAAACATCCCGATAAGTGCGTCCTGGTCGAATGCCATCAAAATGGTTGGGCTCTGGTCTACGAGTAAGTACACATTCGATTTAGTATTAGTTGTGCCCAACCATCAATGGTAATCGATTATAGATGCAAAAGGGTTGCACCACCGACCAACTGCGAGTATACCGAAGCTAAGAATCCCAATGCCCCATATCCCGACTGCTGTGAGATGGATGTAATGTGCAATGATATTGCCTGGGATTGAGATATGTCGCTTTACCGTCTGAATGTGTGTGTTTTCAAATTTGTAAATTTAAATTTTTTGTTTTGTTTTTGGAAAAGAAGAAATGTACAAATAAATAAATTCTTATTGTTGGGCATCTAAAAGCAATGGTCTTTCCCATTCCTTTCGATCAGCATCCTCGTAAGATTGTAAACAGTCCAAATTTCACTCCATAAATTCTCAATATATTAAACATATTTAACGTACATCTTATCAAAACTTGTCAACATATTTCTTTTTTTGTATTAAATTTTGTTTTAATTAAAGCTTTAAATGGCCGAAGGATACTTTAAGCTACTGTCATTAATGGTGCTGGCAAGTCTTCTGGTCAGTAGCCAGACGGCCGAGTGGCAGATACGCTACCACCATCCCAGTGAGTCTGCCCCGCATGCCACGTTTGTGTATTCTCCCCATTCAGCCCATTCCACAGATTTCCCTGGCAAATGCACCATCAATCCCAAGCTGGTGCTCAACGGGGGAGTGAGCATCAAAGATCCGACGCACGAATGCCGTCAAATTGTTTGCGGACGCAATGGCATGGTGGTGTTCCAAAGGTGAGCAGAAGATGCGCTTCGATTCTCGACTAATTGACTCTCGACAGCTGCGGAGTGAGTGACCTGCCGAGGAGCTGTCGCTTTGGCAACTACACCCATCCAGAGCTGCCATATCCGCAGTGCTGTACCCGGAAAAAGTTCTGCTCTGAAAAGAAGGCCGGTCCATAGATGTCATAGCATAGGTGGCAGCTATCATTTAAATGTTTTTTAGTTCGTAGTAGTCTCTAGTCTAGATACAAAATGTTCCCTCTGAAATTTTCAATTTTTTTCGGTTTTCTTATTGCCTCATGCATGTCTAAGGAAGCACCTGCTGTTCAGTTCTCCTTGAACAACTATATGCATGGAGGTGAGCATAAATATATACATATGTACATATATGTATGTATATCAATCAGGGTAAAACTGAAGATCTAATGAAATATCCTATAATTTCTTTTCAGCCTATCCCGGTCGGTGTGTCATCGATGTGGACCCATCATTAATCACTCTAGAATTGGGACAGGCCGTCACTTTACCCAACTTGTCCTGTGTGGTGCTCATTTGCATTGGCGATGGCTATGGCGTGCTCTACAAGTAAATATTGTCTTGCATGCAACAATCGAATTGGAATTATCCCTGTCTGTCCACAGATGTGACCATTCGAGTCCGCCAGAAACTTGCCATTACGGAGATTTCCTGGATCTCAATGCTTTTTTCCCAGATTGCTGCAAGCGCAAGGTTATATGCAATTAAAATTTAAAGTCAGTTAAAATTGTAGTCAGCGTAAATTGTTTAAAGTGAAGATGTAAATAAAATAGTAACAGAAATACCATTTGTCGGGTCAAGCAGCATAAATACAAAAATTCTTAGTAAATAGGGGGCAGAGCCTAAAGTAAATTCTTATTATTTTATTGTCCACTATTTGCACTGTTTACTGTTCATATAAACATTGCTACCTGCCATAAGCTTACGCACGGCAGCGGCCCTTCTTTCGCCTCTCCCTATCCCGCCTTCTTCTCTTCGTTCCTGCAGTGACAGCGTCAAAGCTGTGCTCTCGCGCTTTATCTCTAGTTCGAGCTCGGCTTAGCAGCGCAGCCCTGAGCTAATGCTCTCCTATCGCTTACTCTCGGTCTCTTCTAGCTTAGCTGCCTAGGGCACGGACGTCACGTCAGCTCTTACACTCAGTCTTGACGCTGATCGTCATTCTCATACAAATATACATACAATCCAACAAATTGTATTGTATTTACATACATGTACATACCTCGTATTCGCTAGCTTAGCACCATTCTCCTACGATTATTGTGTTTTATGTTATGGATGTTATCCATATCGAAAAAGTGCTTTCGTTCTGCTAGCAGGCATATCGTTGGACGTCATATTTATGTACAAATATCTTAAAATAATCTTAACGAAACTCTACTCTACAACAAAATGTTGTTCTCTCAGAAATTTACACTTATTTTCGTGTTCGTGTTGGGCTTGAGCATTGTGCCGCACATATCTGCTGAAATGTCCGTAAATAGCTACGAGGATCCAGGTGAGATTTGACATATGTACATACATACAAGGGCAGTAAGTGCTGTATGTGTATAAAAGATCTAACGAAACACATCCTGTTCAGCGTATCCTGGTCGTTGTGTCATCGATATACCGACTTCAGTTGTTCTGCTCTCCGCGGGACAGGCCTTCAAACTGCCCAACATTGACTGTGCGACAATATTCTGCATTAGCAATGGCTGGGGCATGCTCTTTACGTAAGTATTCTTGCTAGTAGTAGTACTAAAAGTGAATGAATATAGCTGGTATTCCCACACAGCTGTGAGAAAGAGGCACCGCCCGATGATTGCCGTTTCTCCGAGCCACTGAATCCGGATGCCATTTATCCAGAGTGCTGCAAGCGTCGCGTTGTTTGTGATTAAAGATTTCAATCGTCAACTGATGATGTTACTAGTTAAATTTCAATCTAAATTTGTCAAGCAGAATTAAATACAATAAAATCCCTTCGTTATACTGCCGGACATGCATAATTTTGTGGGACTTTGCTTGACTTTTTATTGGTTTTTACGAGCTTCTTGGCAGCTATGTATGCCCGTGGCACATTTGGTCGGCCAAGGTTCTATCCCTGCAGTTTTGCTGCATTTTTGTATATCCTTTTTGCCGGCCTTCAATGGATGGATGCTTTGGCATCCCATGGGATGGCAAATAGTTCCAAATCAAACCAGAGGGCCACAACAACAACATCAACTCGTGATGCCGGAAAGATAAAGGGCAGCGGAGCGGAGTGCAGAAATTGCAGAAACCACAGCAACAACACTAATTGACATTTGAATGCGTTTGCGTCTGCGGGGGCATGAGGGCGATGCGGATTAAGCTCCATTGCGGGTCAAATGTTTCAGCCTCGACAACTCGGGGTCCCATGTCCCATTGGGCCATCGCAGTCTACGGCCAATTGCATTCTGACCTTACACGCTTTTTCACAAAAGGGGTATAACTATTTTTTTGAATTTAAGTCATATTTCGGGTATATCTATTTGAAATAATTAAGAAAGCTATAGAGAATATATATACAGATCGTGGAATGCAGATATTGAATCTAATTAAGGGAATTCTACTCTACCCTAAAATGAACATATATAAAAAGTTTTGTCTAAAAAAAAATCTAAATTAAATTTAAAGTTATAAAAACTTTAAATATAGAAAAAAAACCAATCAATATTTACGATTGCAATTTTGCAGACAAAATGAGGGAACAATTAATAATTCTTATTAGCATATATTTCATGACTTTTCCTCTCAATGTGGCTCTTCCTCGTCCCTTTATAAAGATATAAAGATCGTGGAAAGCAGATATTGATCCTAATTAAGGGAGTTCTACTCTACCCAAAAATGAATAGAGCAATCGTAGGCACACTTTTCATATAATCTGTATAGCCTTAGATATTTTATTTTAGTTCCCTAATAAATATATAGAAATCTTTATTCGCTTACAGACGCTTATTGTTCGCTGGTAGATGGAATCTACCACCCATCGCACCACCCAAGTCAGAGTCAGGCATGTACTTGAGGCTAATCCGCCAAACAGAAATTGATTTGGGTACCGTGTTAAGTGCATTTAACTGAAACTAATTAAAGTCCCTGTCGTTGAAGCTGATTTGTGCATGTTTGCAGACCGTACATTGAATAAATTAGCAAAGGATTTAAACTGCATATTGAGGTACATACATACATTGTACATACATATATATATATACATGTACTTTAATAAATTAAGGCATATTGTCATTACACATTTGCGTATTTAAGAATTTCATGGCTGAGTCTGAATGCTAAACTGTGTCTCCGATTTCTTAATCGACTCGAAGAAAGACGAAGAAAGGTAGAAAAATTGTGAAGAAAAAAAATGCAGCTTAAAGGTTTCTTCAAAATTAGTTCGATTAGTTGTTGGCTTATGATTTGCAATATATATGTATATTTATCTACCATGTTCTCCCAGGACGTTCCCAAGTTTTAGACAAAGCATCCCATAAAAGTGAAGTTATAGGGTTTTTTTTGATGCTAGTGAAAATCAAGGACTGCCAAAGAAACCATGGGCTGCACCAAAGTTTTTGGAAAACCCATACACCCTATACAGTGACCGCAGTAAGTTTTCAGTCGGCAAGCCAGAGAAACTGCCAGCCTCAGCATAAACAAAAACACAAAAAAAAAACGAAAGTGAATATTACAATTTTTTGTGCTGCATAAAACTTAAGGGCAGCATAAGCACGAGACTGAGTGTGTGTGTGTGTGTGTGGCTGCCACAGTGTGCTTGTGTTTGTTAAAACACATGTACATACAACATTTACAAAATTGGGGATTGCCTGCCCGCACCCACTGTCGGAGTAAGATATGGCAAAATATATGTGTGTGTGTGTGTGTGTGTGTGTTGTGTTGTGTGCGTTGCGTGCGGGCCAAAGGTGAAGGTGATGTCGGTTGTCGGTTGTTGGTTGTTGGTTGCTGGCCAGGCTACAAATGTGTACTGAAATAAAAGGCAGCCAAGAAAAAAAGGAGAAAAAACGAAAGAAAAACTCACTAACGAGAGAGACGGCCGAAAAACTCGCTAAAGAGAAAAAATGCAAAAAAAAAAAAAAACGGAAACTGAAACTCAAATTTACCTGCTGCATGGCATATAAAATGTAAAAGGTGCAAAGAAGCTGCTTAAAATATGCAAAAACACACAACGAATATCCCGGCAACAGACACATGTTCACCGTGAAAAATGAAAGCATTAAACATGCTAGTAGAAGGCACTAAAAGGCACGAGGAAGAACCACATTGAGAGGAACAGTCATGAAACTTATGCCCAAAAAGAATTATTAATTGTTGCCTCATTTTGTCTGCAGTATTGCAATCGCAAACAATTTTGATTGAATTTTTTTCTTTATTTAAAGTTTCCATAACTTTAAATTTGATTTAGATTTTTTTTTTGAGGAGTGTAAAGACAAAACTTGATTTGCATAAACGTTAAACATATCCATTGTTTTGTTCAGTGTACCTTACATTTTCGTTCAAACATTTTTGGTGCACAAAAATCGACGAGCTGCGGTGCAAGTTTATTTATTCATTACTTTACACGCGTTGTCTGTGCCCCCCGCCAGTCGCACTCTGCCGCAATACGCAAAAGGAACTTTAGTCGTTATTCCGCTCTATAAAGAAAAAATTGAAACTTAAAAATGCACGAAACTATCCACAAGATTGTCTTACAAGATGTGGCAGAAATGGTGGCAATTGCAAATGCTAGAATGCATAAAATATGCACAGTTCTGGCTTAAGTTTCTTAAACCACAAATAGCCATCCGAAAATCCATTAGCAATCAAATAATTATAATTGTCCTAGTCTCACACAATTTAGGATAAGTGCTCAAAGATATGCTTAACGAAATGGTAAATGATATCAATTAATATTTAATTATTTAGTGTTGGATTATATTGAAATAACACAACCACAAAGCGTACTCCAACACGTCTATGTAGATATTTCTGTGAATTTGTGTGAACAGCTTTTCCAATCATATCCTAAATTGCATGTCAATCAATTTTTGACATAAAATGTCTGCATTTCATTTATTTTCATTCAATTATTACAATCTCTATTTTAGCTGGGAAATCAACTCTATTTTTGGCAGAATTATTGACAATTTGTGCAGCTGAATTACGAGTAGAATATTATTTCAAAACAAAAGGTAATTTTGCCTGAAGTGGGGAGCATTTTTCCCTTTTTATTTGGGTATATACATTTTTATATATATTCAATGTCCTCTGAAATTGAATTTTATTCACCCCCAATGTCTGTTTGTGTGGAGTGTATTGTGTTGCTTTTCTTTTTATTTTTATTTTTATTCTTGCATGAAATAAATTATGGGACTGTTGCTCTTGTTTTACGAGCTGTTGCCAAAGATGGCTGCCATAAAAATGTCTGGGTGTCGGGTTGGGGTGGGGTCGGAAAGGAGGAAGCGCCTGATTTGTAGTAGTTGGAACATGAAGTTTTGCATGAATTATGAAGGAGACAGACATCTTCCTACGACCCATCTGCGTTTCTATTATTTATGGGCAAACCAATTGGACGTAGGAGTGGCATCAGTGGGGCATAAAAATCATTGGGTGAATATTATATGCACTTGGTTAAAAGCAGCAAAAATTAAAGGCTTGGCATGGAGAGAAGACTAACAATATATCTAGTTAGAATAAAATAAATCATTTCAACAATTCATTCAAATATCAAAAATATATCCATTGAAGCTATGTGAAACTCTGTGTGCAAAATGCTAATGAAATGACCATCAGCCATCGAGCATTGAAAAGCAATTAAAAAACATTGCCATCGCTGTAAACCTGGTCCCACAACCCACTTGCCCTCCTGTCCTGTCTGACCTGCAGGAAGCACCCAATGCCATTAGACACTAAGCAGATTTGAGCTAATGGCCATACAGGCACTAGCACGGTTGGCTAATTTTAACAAACAGTTTCCATTACACGACCATTATGACCATTCCAGGGGTGAGATACGCGCCACGTTAGGTGACAAATCCTTCTTGCTGTTGCGCTTTTGTTTAACCAACTTGCCACAAATCAAAGAAGTTTATGGACAATTTAAGCTGTTTTTGTGTGGCACCGGCATGACGTCATTCATGGCAAGGAAATATTTTCTAAGAAAATAGCCACAGAGAAAAACCAAACAAAAAGAAAACAAATTAAAATGAAATAAAATCACAAATTACAAAGGCACACAATGAAGTCAATCGGCATAAACACGCAAAGAAAAACGAAAAAGAAAATATGCAAAACGATTCAATCAAAATATCAAACGAAAATAATTCTCGTATTTCCAGAAAAATAACAAATTGGGGCAGTCCCCCCAATGAATGGGGAACATGGGGGAATACTTTCAAGACTTTCGGACTCCTTGAGCCCCCCAATCCAAAGGTTTCTGTTTGTAAATTGTTGACTATTCATGTGAAATGTTAAATTTGTTGGAAATTATTTGCTTAATAAGTTTTATTTGATTATGGATTATTATTCCTGCTTAATTGTGTAAATCTCTTTTTATTGTGTATTCTACATAAGCTCTCCCAAGAGCAGACAATTTATATGGGAAATGCAAATACTTGTACGCGGCAAACAATAAGTAAAATATATGCTCGTATACTCGTTCGTATATTTAATGTATGGGTATTTCTGGTTAAATCATTGATGCGGTCGTTTTCATTTCAGATTTTAATTATGCGCGTAATTTTTCAAGCAAATTCGAATGCGGATAAATTGTTTATCTGTCTGCCTCTTTTTTTTATGAGGTTTTATGGCTTATTTAAATGATGTGGCTGTGGCTGTGGCTGCTGCAAGAGAATTCGGTTAGGGAATAATCGATTGAGCATATTCATTTGGATGGCTGGATGGAGAGAGAGAAATGAAAAGAAAATAAAAGAAATGCTTGCACTCACCTTCAGAGTAGGCCACCGACTAGAAACTGCTGTGCTGCCGCCCCCAAGGATTCACAAAAGATGCTTTTGCCAAAATGTGAGGCCGCGTAAAAAAACGGCTGAGGGACAATGAAACCAAAACGAACCACAATGGCCAAGTAGATGCGGATGCGGAGGTTTTTTCTTTTGGATGCTTGTAGGATTTGGGGTCTATGCCGCTGCGAGTTATTCTTGTCCAAGGTAAACACCAACACACGCGTTGCTCCACGAAAACACGGATAAACGGAAAAAACGTAATCCGGGCCGTATAGCCGCCTGCCACGAGAAATGTTGCCAATTCTCTGTTGTTCAGCTTAATTCATGCATCACCACCTGGCCTTTGTTTCGCCCTGCACTTCCTCGCACTCTTCTTCTGTCTCTCTGTAGCACTTTTAATTAGGCTTAACTTTTCACATCAATGGCCTGGAATTGTCTGGAATTATCTGCCTGTAATCGGTATGATGATTACTGTTTAGCATTGTTCTGCCTTCCACCTCATAGATATTACATATCTCAATGCCAGATTGAGTATACGCCGCGTCTGCGCCGTGACCAGAATGAAAATTCAATGAAATTCGCTAATGGCATTTCAATAAAGGACCAAACAAAAACCAACCAAACAAACATAAAAAAAAGACATCCTAACCACAGTGAAGCCTTTGCATGAATAATGCATTTTATTTATTATACAACGCGAACACACAGACATCCTCTGGGCCCGGGTGCACGGTTCGCTTTGGTGTTGAATAATACAGAAGCAGTCGTTTAATAATGCACAGCCATGATGAGACTCTGGGCGGACCAGTAGATGAGCAAAAGGAGCAGTTTGTAGTTGGTATTAGTTGGCCAAAAACCCTATTTTGCATAGAGGTCATCCAGCCAGCCAGCCAGCCAGCCAGCCAGGCAGCCATACGACAAAACTTTAGCCCAGATGTGCAACAGTAATGAAAAAGTTTCAGACTTTGTTCAAATCTGCTCTCACTCACCCACTCACTCACCTTCTCCCCTGCCCCACTGCCTGCCTGTGTTTTTCTCTATTTAACTTTTGGACATGCATTAAAAAAAAAGAGTAAGTACCAGAATAGAATTATAAACAGAATGCAGCACACAGTTTACAAATAAACTAAATACAATAAAAAAAAAACTATACAAATTAAGTGGAAATAGAATTGATTTATATTAGGGCTAATCCTGCTCTGTGCTTATATTTTTTGGGAAACCAACAACATCGACAAGTGTCCAGCCTGACTTTAAAAATGGTTAAACAAGGCTCTGGCTGATCATTTTATATGCATACAAAAATTGTTAATGTCTTGAGTTAATGCCAAAGTCAGAATCTAAATTTTGCACTCAAATTTTTTAGACATTCCATTTAAAAAAAAAAAAAAACCCCATGGCTACAGATGTCAGCTGTGCCCGATAAGAAATGATAATTATCGAGGATTATTATTGGCTATAATTACAACCAACCAATGATTGAACCAATGACTATAATCAAACAAATCGATCGATAAAAGCCTCTTGATAGCATTCAAAAGTGCATTGAGGAATTAAAATCAGAAATAGCTTAATTTTAAGCATCCTGCAAATGAGTCTTTGCTCCCTTCCCTGTAGCCTCCTTTTCGGGTTATTTTGTTTTGTTTTTAATACCAACTTAACATCATTTGATGGCATTGGAATAGCTCATTGTTGTAACTCGTATTGCTGCTATTGACAGAACGTGTATGCCGTTGCCTTTACAGAAGCTTAACTGCCGCAAAAGAGAGGGTGAGACAGAGAGATGGAGCCGATAAAGAGAGAGGCAAAGACGAAAGAGAGCGCAAGGGTACGACAGAGCGAGACAGGTGTCAATTGTGTTGTGTTACCTGTTACATGCCCTTGGCAAACACTACCAAAGTTCTTCTACATATACACATATGTGTGTGTGTGTGTGCATGTGTGCGTGCATGTGTGTTTGTGTGTGGGAGAAAAGCCGCAGTTTCAGCTCAGATTCAGAAACCCCACATCGACCTTTGAGGCTAGTGAGACATGCTGCTGCTCGTACAGGAATCGTAAATTGCATGCAAATGCTCCACGTATTGGCATAAAAAAAAACGAGAAAAAAAAAGCCAAGCGACAAGAAAGGACATTAAAGTTTGTGGCCTGGCAACTCCGCAATACTCTGGCAGGAGGAAACAGCAAAACACAACCTTAAGAGCATAAAATTGTAATATTTTCGCTTCATCATCCTCATCCTCATGATGATGATGATGATGATATTTTCTGATATTTTTCATTACATTGTTGTACTTTTACGACTGTTATCCTTGAGTGAAGAACTTGCCACAGGATGCTAACCCACACACACACGCACACTCATACAACCCAAATGGCTGAGCACACACACACACACACACACAAACGTAGACGCATGAGCGAGGAGGTGAGCGAGCTTTTCTAAGACCGTTAGTTTACCGCAGCAAGAGAGAAATTATAATATCTGGAGGCAGAGAGACAGCGAGAGAGCGCGTGGGAGAGAGCAAGGCAGTGGACTGGTAGAAAGAGTGTGGGCGAAATTTTCACCTTCGCACTTTGAATTTTTGTTTAATTTCTTTTTATTTTTTCAATTTCAATATATTTTATTAAAATTTATTTTTTTGTTAGAAGCAACAATTTATATATTTTGCAACAACAGTAGCCACAAATAAAACTTGATATTCGCTTAGCACTGGCTGCCACACTTGAAGCACGCACCGAAAAATCACTTGGATGCTGAATGTTTTTTTTTTTTTAGTTTAAACAATTTATGAATATATTTTTTAAATATTTACAAACGCGCCTCGCTAAAATGCACAACACACGGTATGTTGGTCCGTCGCTCGTCGAATCACAACTGACCTACGCGGAAAATGCCACGGCTCCTCGAATCGTACACTCGTAGCCTCCAACGTATACGTATTCAAAGTTTCTGAATCCGGCGCAAAATTGTACGCTCTCTATAGAGCTTTCTTTGAAACTGAGAGAAACCTTTAGACGGACATCGCTAGACTCTGCTATACAACATGATCGAGCATATAATAGTACGTATGTATAATTAATGTGTGCATTAAAAACAATCCAGCTTTATTTATAATCAAATATCCTCTGCGAGTGTCCAGATGCCAAAGACATTATTTTCCTTTTAAATTAATTCTGCTAAAAGGTGAGCTTGCAACAGAGACACCTGGCGACGAAAAACGCCTCGAATTTTGACCGACAGGGCGGCGCCATTGTGAAAAAACTGCCGTAAACTGTCCGTGCACAGAGAACGCTTAACCCATTGTCGACCAGTGGGTATTTACAAATACAAACGCAAATAAAATATAACTTGAAAAGTTTTAAAGCAGTTCACGTGAAAGAGAATCAAATATATTTGCTTTATTTAATTTTTCGAAGCTAATTAGGCTTTAAGAATTTCACGATCACAGCAGTCGGGATAGTCAGCATTTGGTGCTTTGTACTTGCCAAACTTTTGGCCAGGCAGCAGCCCAACAACTCCACATCTAAACAATATAATTCACAATTCTTATCTCTTTTAAATCGTATAATTCAGTTAAAAAACACTCACGTCTGTATCTGTCCTTCGCTATTCTTGCCGCACACCACACGGGCACACATTTTGGGATGACGAGCCGACTGGCCGTCATTCAGAACGAGTCCATCGACCACACATTTGCCTGGATGAGCAGGGTCTTTAAAAATACCCCGCGAGACAGCTGCCTCAGTCTCAATGGCAACAAGCAGAACAGCGGCGATCAGCAAAAATATTCCTGTAAGCAGCTGCATCTTCACTTCATCGATTCAGAACTCTGACTAAAAAGCTGAGCGTAATCTCCGACTTAATAGGCTGGCCTATCTTTCGAAGAGGGCTGGTCAACCGGTTCAGCCAACCAAACTAGATGTGAGTGCGCAGAGTGCTTATGGATCCACTCAATTATCATTTGAATGCTCATGAAATTATCAATATACTCATTTGGGATGTCATAGATCAGCATTGTTCCGTTCAACGTTGTTCCGATTTTATTAATTCACTCATTGTCTTATGAAACTAGCAATATGTGAATGTCATTTGTACAATTTTGTATTATTTTGTGGGTTCTTCAATAATTTCACGACGACAGCAGGCGGAATATTCAACTTCTGGAGCTGTTGCCAAAACTCATGTGTGTGTCCTTCCTAGGCTATTCCTTTCACACCACAAGAGTGCACAGATCTTAGGCTATCCGTCGCTCCGAATTGAGGGTATCAATCACACATTTGCCTGGATGGTCCAGGTCTGAAAAGTCAGCTTACATTGAATCTGCCTCAGTACCAATCAGGAGAAGCGCGGACAAAACCATAATGATTTCCGTAAATTTCATATTTCCGCAGTGATTTAGAACTTCGACTGACTAACTCAGCATAATCTGGAACTAGCAGTTAAATGCTCAAAAAATGCTAATTATACCCGTACTCAAAAAAGAGTTAAGGGGTATATTAGATTTGTGGTAAAAGTGGATGTGTGTAACGCAGAGAAGGAAACGTTTCCGACCCCATAAAGTATATATATTCTTGATCAGCATCAATAGCCGAGTCGATATAGCCATGTCTGTCTGTCCGTCTGTCTGTCTGTCTGTCTGTCTGTCTGTCTGTCTGTCTGTCGTCTGATGAGCGCCTAGATCTCAGAAACTATAAGAGCTAGGGCAACCAAATTTGGTTTCCAGACTCATGTGATATCCCACTGCTACGTGTATTTCAGAATTTCGCCCCGCCCCCTTTCCGCCCCCACAAGGGACAAATCTGTGGCAGGCACAATTTTAAAGATACGATAAAACTAAAAACGCAGTATCGTAGAGAATGCCCATATCTACCAGACTGCTGAATCTGAATTATATCGGATCATAATTATAGCCAGAACGACGAAATTAATTTTCAGTTGCTTCCCCTGCCCCTCCCGCCCACGACAACGCAACTCATTTTCCTTCTCGCTCGCACACTCTGCCGCGTTCAGTGCGCGAGCAACCCTTAGCGGAGGAGATGTAGAATCTAAATGGTACATGTATAATCTACATGTTAGATGTAGAATATACATAATATATGTAGATGTAGATAGCAGATGTAGCAAAAAAATGTAAAATGTAAAATTTCTTTTTTTTTTTTAATTCTAAATAATTATATGCTTAAAAATGTATATGCTGACTGAGTACGGGTATAAGTAGAGTCGCGTCTTTAGAAGCGACTCACACGTTCCTTCTCGTTTTTAATGGCTTCCAAAGTTCAGGCAAAGGTTTCAGCGATCAACTTTTATCACATAATTATATTAAAGCAAATAAAAATTAAAATAAAAAACCGTTTCCTCCCATTTTTAATGTGTATTTGTGTTCGTGTGTATGTGTGTTCTACTGTATTATTTCTTATACCGTATACTCTATCTTTTTAAATATAATATGAATCAGACATTATACCTGTAAGAATATTATTTTGATTATCCGGATACGGAAATACTTTGAATACCGGGACTCTGCCAATTTCGCTCGGAATATTGGCAATTATAAAAATTTCGTTGTGGAGCTTGGAACAACAAATTTAACATCAATTAAAGGAAATAAGGTATACAAAAATCCATACGCACAGAAGAAACTTGGTTGACGAGCAACACTGACGTCACATTTAGTCAACATTTACGTTTTATGCTTTGGCCGTTTTTTTTTGAACCTTAATATGTAAATAGTCCAATGAAACGAACTTCTGAAAACTTGCCAATCTTCTAGAAAATTTATGTATCTATCGGATAAAATTATTTGTTTAGGGCTGAGAGAGCCAACTATCTAGTAATAGTAAACTGAATATTAGGAATATCAACGCATCTTGTCGTGTCCTTCAGAATACTTACGGTATATTTTTTAATCAAGTTCCAATTTATTTGTTTATATATTAAGATACGCTTCAAAATGACCGCCAGACTCCACTTATCGCATAAAAATATCGATATTATTCACTCTCAATTCGTGGAGAGTTTTCAAAATTTTCTCTCAATTCGTGGAGAGTTTGCAAAATTTGCTCTCTTTTCAGTGGAGAAGAGATTGTTTTTGTGGAGACTTTCCCCTCATTTTCGTGGTGTGGCAGCATGTTGCTGAAATTTTTCCCATACAAATCAAATGTATCTTACGGGAACGCGTATGGAATAAAGATTCATTGTTGCGTCATTCCATACGCGTTCCCGTAAGATGCATTTGATTTGTATGGTAAAAATTTCAGCAACATGGGGAAATGAAGTAGCAGCATTGTTGTGCAACTTTGGCACGGAATGATCAACAATCTGCATACCTTGGGAAAATGGATATTATGGACTTGAGATATTGTTTGTAATTTCAGGCTCCAATTAATGCAAAAACTATTCAGTCTCTGTTCTAAAGATTTTAACAAAGTTTTGCCGCTCACGACTACCAATAATAGGTATCAGAACCGGGATAAATGTATATATAAAACACAAACATGTGCATTTATAGGTAAAAAACATGATAATCTAGGATAAAATCATAAATAATTTTTCAATGGAACAAAACATTTAACATCAATTAAAAGAAATAAGGTATACAAAAGTACATACGCATAGAAGATACTTGGTTGACCAGCAACACTGACGTCAACATTTACGTGTTATGCTTTGGCCGTTTTTGTTTGAACCTTATTATGGAAACAATCCAATGAAAAAGAGTTCTGAAAACTAGCCAATCCTAAGCAAAATACATTGAGGAATTAGATAAAATTATTTGCTCAAGGCTGAGAGGGCCAACTAGCTAGTAATATTAAACTGAATATCAAATTTGACGAATATCATATCACAAAATATCATGCTATGGCAGCCCGCTGCAACTACGAATTGCACGAGTCTGGTAACGCCACAAAACGACGACACATTCGTTCTATGTTGTTTTTGTTTGAACCTTAATATGTAAATAATCCAATAAAAAGGACTTCAGAAAACTTGCCAATCCTGAACCAAATTTATGTATCTATCGGATAAAGTTATTTGTTTAGGGCTGAGAGTCCCAGCTAGCTAGTAATATTAAAAGGAATATCAAAATCGAGGAATATCAACGTTGAATGTTTTGAAAAAACAATCGATACCATCTTAATAGTATCGGGCTCTAATAAAAACCATTGAAACGCTAAAGAAAAACAATACAATTTTTTAAACAAAAACCATGTCTGACGAGTACGCGTGTGTGGCCAAGGGCAAGCTCAAGCTAAAGAACGACACAGAATTGAAGAAGAAAAAGAAGAAGAGTAAAGGCAAGGACAAGGAGAAGGAACGCGAGGCACTGCTAAAGTCATATGTGGAACAGCAGATCGCGGAGACGAGCACATCCTCATCGGCAGCTGTTGGCAGTGGGTACGAACGGAAACTAACCAAGGCGGAGCTGGCCAGCAAGAAGCAGCAGGAGAAGATGCGCAACAAACGGATAATGGACAAGGCTCAGACCACGCACAAGGAGCGGGTGGAGAAGTTCAACGAGCATCTGGACTCTCTCACCGAGCATTTCGACATACCAAAGGTTTCATGGACGAAATAAACGCAGAGGGCACTCACAATGGCTTGTTGTGTTATTGTAACTTAAATATTAGGTTTATTATTATTAGGTTTACCAATAGAAGCGTTAAGTAATTTTGACTACAATGTGTGTGTGTGTGGGGGTGTTCAAAATCAACCAATCGGGGATGGCACAACTAACCTAATTACACATTTTCATATATATGTAGCAGCTAATGATAATCATATACAAATCAACTTGAAGAGGATTTTGTTTTTTTGTTTATATAGTTTCCAACTTTCAGTCCAGTAAGTCCATATGCGAGTGCTGGTGTCTTCCATGAATGACACATCAACGTGCAGCGGGCGGCTGCTGCTTAGCGAGGCGATATCAATTCGAACATGGCATACTTCCAGGTCCATGAACGCACCAGCTGCTCAAAACGCTCGCGTTCATGCTCGTAGATATAGCCCACTTCTGGCTCCATGCACACCTCGGTGTACGGATCGGTGAGTAGGCTCTGAACTGACAGCAAAACCTTCGCCACGTTCAGCGCCAGCGACCAGTTTTGCTGCTGGAATATGTCAATGCCCACATCGCCGTGCCGAGATACATTCGGATGTAGGATTTTGGTTAGAAAACGCACTGTGGGCGGTGCCATGGGATACCGGTCGGGGAAGTAGATAAACAAGAAGAATTTTCCGCCCTCGTAGGGACTGCCCGGTGGCCCCAGTATCGTTGCCTGCCAATAGTTGTTCTGTCGATCCAATGGTATGGCGGAAATGCCCTCCGACTCGTAGCTGTTCAGCAGATTAGCCTCGCCGCGCAGAAATATATTTCGTATCGGATTGTCCTGCTCCTCGTCGTGCTGAGACTGACCGCGTCCGCCCATTTCAATCAGGCAGGTGCGACAGAAGCATGACGACATCAAGGCGCCGTACAGCTTGTACCAGTTCGGCGCGTCCGCGAGACTCTCGAACAATGGCCAGCGCTGCTTGATGTACGCCTTCCACATGCTTTGGGCCGTGTTCTTGCCAATGATGTCGTGCCACTGCTTGCACACTTCGCTGGACATCCACAGGGACATGTCGTCCAGATAGGCGAATATTTTCAGCAATATCTCGACGGGTATGCGGCTAATGATACTCTTATTGACCCGCTGCATTGCTACCGCCAGCCCCATTGGCATTGTTATATTCATGGGTCCGCAACCTGCCATCGGCCAGCTCGTTCATGTAGTGCGGCAGGCCCAATGGGGCCGTGGCTCGTGGCCGCTTGATGGGTAACAGGAACGGATTGACGGCGCGCTCATTGTCAAAGTCGCGTTCAGGTGTTGCGCGTCGTGCCGGCGGTTGCAGGGCAACCAGATCTGGCGCCTGCTGCTGTGGCATTTCTAACTGTTGGATCAGCGCATCCGCCAGAACATTATTCACTGGCAGCGGTGGCTGTGGTTGTGGCTGGTGCGGCTGTGCTGCGGGCTCGGCATCTTCCAGGTCTTCGAATCCCATTATGTCCACATCGTTTTCAGTTTCCTCATCCTCTTGCTTGTCCTTGAACGGTGGCTCATCGTTGCCAGAATCCTCGTCATCCGACAGTTCCGTCAGCATCTCTTCGGCCAGTTGTGCGTTGTACAGAAAGGCATGACACGCCCCGCATAGCGGCTCACCAAAGTTGGGCCCATAATAGCCATTGCAAACCCAGCAGGTGTGGCTGTTCTGTGGACGATTAAATGACGTTTAATTGTCAACATATTGATGTCCAAAACCCCGGTGTTCGTTCCGTTGTATACACACCGAAAAGTAGAATGTGGGCTCTGTCAGTTGTTCCTTCGCCTTGTCCGCATCTTCATCTTGTGCGTCGTCCATTTCATCGTCGCTCGCGTTTAGCTCCTCCAACAACTGCTCCTGGTCCTTTTGCTGCTGCGCTGACACGCAGCTAGTCATTTTTTTCGTTGCACAAAATGTAAAAAAGAATTCAGATATCAGAAGTATTAGGGATGGAAGTCCAGCGATACTTGCAGTGCGCATCGTTATCGGTGTACGCCGTATCGATAAGCAAAACAAAACAAAACAGCTGCAACGTCACACGTGCAATATTTACGCGAAAATCAGACAAAAATGAAGCCGAAAAAGAAGTTGGGTAAGTTTGTTTATGCCCAATACAGGGGTGCTGATTACACTAAGCAACGTTTTTCCTTTTGGCAGGTGTTGGTCTCAGTCGTGAGGAGCGACAGGTGCTTGTTATCGGGGAAATAATACAGGAGCTGCTGGCGGCACACGATGCCAAAAAGGATGTCAATTTGAATCGCATGAAGTCGCTTATAGCGTCCAAATATGGACTGGACAGCTCGCCACGATTGGTGGACATAATCGCCGCCGTGCCGCAGGATGCCAAAAAGATCCTGCTGCCCAAACTGCGCGCCAAGCCCATACGTACAGCGAGCGGCGTAAGTTGGACACCTTTTCCATTTTATCACACTTAAATCAACGCTTTCGTACAGATTGCCGTCGTTGCAGTCATGTGCAAGCCCCATCGTTGTCCGCACATCAATATGACCGGCAATATTTGCGTCTATTGTCCGGGCGGACCGGACAGCGACTTTGAGTACTCGACGCAATCGTATACGGGCTATGAGCCCACCTCCATGCGTGCCATACGGGCACGTTACGATCCCTTCGTTCAGACGCGACATCGCGTCGAACAGCTCAAACAGCTGGGCCACAGCGTGGACAAGGTCGAGTTCATTGTGATGGGCGGCACCTTTATGTGTCTGTCGGAGGAGTATCGCGACTATTTCATACGCAATCTGCACGACGCTCTGTCCGGTCACAGCAGCGCCAATGTGGCCGAGGCTGTACGCTACTCGGAGAAATCTCGCACCAAGTGCATTGGCATTACCATTGAGACACGTCCCGATTACTGCCTCAAGCGGCATCTCTCGGACATGCTCAACTATGGCTGCACGCGGCTGGAAATTGGCGTGCAATCCGTTTACGAAGATGTGGCCAGAGACACGAATCGTGGCCATACGGTGCGGGCTGTGTGCGAAAGTTTTCAACTGGGCAAAGATGCCGGCTACAAGATTGTGGCACACATGATGCCCGATCTGCCCAATGTGGACTTTGAGCGTGACATTGAGCAGTTTATCGAGTACTTTGAGAATCCAGCCTTTCGCTCGGATGGCCTCAAAATCTATCCCACGCTCGTCATTCGCGGCACCGGACTGTATGAGCTGTGGAAGACCGGACGCTACAAGTCCTATCCGCCCTCAATGCTGGTGGATCTGGTGGCCAAAATCCTGGCTCTAGTGCCACCCTGGACGCGCGTCTACCGCGTACAGCGCGACATTCCCATGCCGTTGGTTAGGTAAGCAATAGCAAAACACTCGATTCGGTGAATTCTCTGATGAGTCCACACTTCCCTTTCAGCTCTGGTGTGGAGCATGGCAATCTGCGAGAGTTGGCGCTGGCTCGCATGAAGGATCTGGGCACCACATGCCGTGATGTGCGGACCCGCGAGGTGGGCATCCAGGAGATACACAACAAAGTTCGACCCTATGACATAGAGCTAATCCGACGCGACTATGTGGCCAATGGAGGCTGGGAGACGTTTCTCTCGTACGAGGATCCCGAACAGGACATACTCGTGGGTCTGCTGCGGCTGCGTAAATGTTCGCCGGACACTTTCCGGCCCGAGCTGAAGGGCGACTGTTCCATTGTGCGGGAATTGCATGTCTATGGCTCCGTAGTGCCGGTGAATGCGCGCGATCCCACCAAATTCCAGCATCAGGGTTTCGGCATACTGCTCATGGAAGAGGCGGAGCGCATTGCTGTCGAGGAGCATGGCAGCCGCAAGCTGGCGGTCATCTCGGGTGTGGGCACACGCAACTACTACCGCAAGATGGGCTACACGCTGGACGGGCCCTACATGTCGAAGATCTTAACGGATTGAGTTTTTTTAAATATTTATCACGCCGTAGGAGCCGTAGGATTTCGCTACTTAACACTATGGGCCTTATATACATAAATAATAAAAAATTAAAATTTCTTTCCTGACAATGCGTAGAAAAACGTCCGTTGAGCGCGTTGACCCTAAACAATGGCCTCCGCGGAGCCAAAGACCAGAAATATGATCCAACCCACTAGATTAATGCCAGCCGCTGCGCTGAAAACCATTGGCCAGCTCTGGGTCAGCTCCAGTATGTGGCCCGCCAGATAGACGCCGAGGAAGCCGGGTATGGCGCCCACCGTGTTCATCAGGCCAAAAACGCTGCCCGAGTGGAGCGGCGCCAGATCCTGGGGATTCACCGTCACCGCATTGTTGTGGAAGCCCGTGCCGCCAATGATGATGGTCATGCAAATCAGCGCCGTGTGGAAATCCGATGTGCGACTCATCACAAACAGCGCCAGATTCTGGGCGGCAAAGCAACAGCTCTGGATGAACTTCCTCACCGTGGTGGTGTGCCATTCGCGTGCCAGCAGCCGCGTAGTCAAGTACTTGGCGAACAGTGTGCATGGGGGCAGGGCCAGCCAGGGTATCATGTTGACCACCCAGCCCTTGGCGTGCGGAAAGCCATCGTGGAAGTAGGTGGGCAGCCACGAGAGCAGCACAAAGAAGCAATTCATCTCGCAGGCATGCGTCAGTACGCAGGCCCAAAAGGATAGCCGACTGAAGTAGCGCAGCCAGGGCACAGCCGTCTCCGCTGGCGTTCTGTTTGAGCACAGTCGCGAGGGTGTGGCAATGTTGATGATTCGATTCCGCTCTCCTGCCATGGCATAGTAGCGCAAGACCAACGCCCAAGCGATGCCCATCAGGCCAATTACACGGAACACATACGACCAGCCAAAGTAATCGAGCAGAAAGGAGCCCATAATGCCCGTGAGCAGGGTGCCCAAGGCCGAGCCAGCAGTCAGCAGGCCAAAGAAGCTGCTGCGCTCGTTCGGGCACAGGTTCTAAAAGAAAACAAACAACATAATTCAGATCGAATCCAAGACGTATCCAGAGGCATTGCCACTCACCTGGCTGGTCAGACTGATCATGCTGGGAAAATGTACGCCCTGAAAGGCGCCGTTCAGTATGCGTATGGCCACAATCAAGGGTATGGCATAGCTCTTGATCGAACCCGCCGACCAGATGATCGTCGGCATCAGGAATGTGATGAGTGACCAGCCAATGGCTGCAAACAGTATAACCCTTTGGCCACCAAAGCGATCACTGAAGTAACCGCCCACCACCTGCGTCAGGGTGTAGCCCCAAAAGAACGAACTGAGAACGGTGCCCGAATCGGTTTTGCTCCACTTTTGTGCGGCTGCCACCGCCGGCACCAGCAGTGGCATGGTTGTGCGCGTCGAGTACAGCATGCATGTGCCCGTTATCAGTGTGATGAACCAAACGCGTTTCTCGTGCCTATGCGACAAAAAGAACAAAACAAGAGGGAACAGCGACGATGGATTAGTTTCGGGTCGTCGTGCACAATAAATATTCCTGATCTCACCTTGTCCATATGCTTTGCGTGTCCACCAGCTCACCACGCAACAGCGAATACTTTAGTTTCTCATCCATGTTGTTTATAATAATAAGCTGTTTGGTGTCCGTTTCTTCATCTATGCCAAATGCTCTTGCTGGCCATTAACGTCACACATTTCACCTGCTGCCAACTGCTGTGCCGCTTGCCGCTGTGGCATGTTCCAATATTGGGCTGCGTTGTTTACTTTCATTCAGTTTCGTTGAAACAATTTCTTTAGTTTTGTATCGACTCTGTTTTTTACGTGGCTATTTTTCACGCAGCAGCAGCAGCAGCTGGTTATAGCAAGCGATTCAGTCTAGGCGACCAATCAATGCGCTTCCCCTTCTTCACGGTTGTTTACGACTCTAACCTTTTTAGTTTGCAACGTATTAAATGATTAATTTGTTCATATTCAAACCATCTGTTTAGTTTGCAGAAAATTAAATGTTTAGTTTGTGTTTAAAACAAATAAAACTGCAAGCAAAAGCCTGTAGAAAAAGCGAAAATACCGCAATGTAGGGTGCAAAAAGGAGTGTGGCCATACTCTGCGAAACAGGGCGCTGCCAGATGCATTTCGTCTGTGGCGTGAGTTTCAAACGGCAGGAAATGAAAATTTTGCAATGAGGATTTCTTAATAAATTTAATTTTCCGGTAAATTAACGCAAATATCAAGTACAAGTAAATGTGGCATCGATTCAAAAATTGTATAAAGACCTAAATAAATGTTAATATTAAGATAAGATTCTATTTCTTGGGCAGTGCATCATCATCTGTGGGATCACAGTCCGCACAGTGCCAGGAATATCCGCGTATTTTCGGCGACTTCTTCAGCGGCGGATCGAGGCAGGCAAAGTGATAATGCTTGTGGCAGTCGTCGCAGGTCACCACCTGATTGGGTTTGCCGCTTTTGGTGCACACGCAGCAGTTGATCTCCACAATGGGCTTCGGATTGGACACACGCGGCCGTCCCACACGAGGCGTTGCCTTGCGTGGACTAACCTTGCGCTTGGGCGATGGAGTCTCGGGCGGGGGCACAGGTGTTGCTGCTGGTGCTGCTGCTGGCGCTGCTTCCTTCGTATCCTTTGGCTTTTGCGGCGATACCGCCACGGCGGGCATCACAACGGGCACTAGGGTTTGCTCTGGCGCCACAATATCCTCGACCGTTTCCACGGACGTCGGCCGCGATGCTTCGTCCACCGAGCGCACCGCATTGGCGGGCACATAGAAGTACTGAGATTCGGGCGCATCCTCGCCCGGCAGACGCATTGTTTTCAATATGATTTTAATCGTGTTGGGCGTGGCATTGGCCGGATTTGGATGCAGTGACTCATTGAGATGGGCGCGCTTTTTTCGCTTACGCTTGTGCTCCTTGCTGAATGACTTTTCCGTATCCGAGGAGAGATTGTGCTTGTTTTTATGCTTGTCCTTGCGCTTGCCCTTGCGCGACAGTTTGCCACTCAGTTCGTCCACGGAGTCCTCGCAGCCAGATAGGATCGTGTTGCTAGCAGTGGGTGTGGCAGCCAAAGCGGCGGCTGCAATAGCGGCAGCAGCAGCAGCGGCAGCAGCAGCGGCAGCGGCGGAAGTAGAAGCCACTGGAACTGCTTGGAGGAGAAAAAGAGAATGAGACGCTTCGGATTCAGATGGCTTAAACCTACCATTTATGGGAGTCTTGCGCGGCGACTGCTGTCTGGGTCGCTTGGGTGACATTGTCAAATCCACGTAAAGATCTGGCCCAACGACAGCCACAGGCAGGGATTTGTTGAGCGCTCGCTTGGCGGACATGGAATCCCTGGGAAAGGCTGCAGCTGGCGCTGGCACATCGTCCAGCGAGTAACGGTCCACATACACCAGGCTGCCGTCCTTGTTGAAGCGCGTGCGAGATTTGCGTGGGCCCGACGAGATCTCCGTGACCGCATCGGAGCCATCCGACTTGTCACAGCACTCGGAGCACTGCCAGCCATACTGCTTGGACTTCTTGGGGGGCCGCGTCAGCGGCGGATTCAGACAGCCCAGATGGTAGTGCAGATTGCAGGTGTCACACTTGACCAGCAAATGCTGATCGTTGTTCCGCTTGCAGATGCCGCACGCCATAGCGGGCGCAATGGCGGGTGCTGTCCTGCTGCCCTGCTTCGCCTGGGTGCTGAGCATGCGCGAGGAGTCCAGCTTGGTGCCCGGTGGCCCCAGGTGGGCCAGTGGAAAGCCCACGCCCATTTTGAGCGCCGCAGCCGTCGGCACCGATATGGGGCGTTGCGGCGGCGTGGGCGTGCTGGTCTTGGCAAGCGCCGCCATCTCTGGCTGGGGACGAGCGATGAGCTCCACATTGGGCAGCGTGAGGGTGGGTGCCAGGTGCGAGAGATTGCCATGCAATGTGCGGATGGTGGCCAGCAGTGTGTCCCGCGTGGACTTGACCGCTTTGCGCTCCTCCAGCGACGCATCGTACTGTGCCCGGAGACTGTCCTGGTCCTTGGACAGGATGGCATTGTGGCTGATCAGCTGCTGCTGCTGCTGCCGAAAGTCCTCCATCCGCACAATGCGATCCATGTAGTAGGCGGTGAACTCGACGCTGAAGGCGGGCGTAATGTGCCACTTCTTTCGTATGTCTGTGAGGGCATTGATGTGCGCCTCCCGCTGCTCCATGTGCTGCACATCCACGGACATGATCTCGGCCTTGGCCAGCAGCCGGCGGCACGCAGAGGCCGAAGTGGTCAGCAAACGCGACATCTTCTGCGTGGGCACCCAGGGCGCTGGCTTCAGTTCCTTATGCTGGGCGTACTTCAGCTGAATCTTGAGCAGCTTGCGCTGTATGCGCGCCTGGGCGGGATTCGTGGGCGGTTCGTCCAGGGGCTGCTGCTGCTGCTCGCTGGTGGTCAACTCCTTCTCCTTGGCCTTCTGCAGCATGTTGAGGCGGAGCGTGTGATAGTTTCGCCGGCGCTTCTTGATCATCTCCTTCTCGGAGTGCACCTTGCAGTGGGCGTAGAAGGGATCGGCCGCATCGTCCTCGTGATGGGCCTCGATGAGGAAGCCCGCCACCTGGGCGCACGTCACATGGAAGTAGGTCTTGCACATGCCCGCATCGCAGCCAATGCAGACGCCAGTGCGGGCAAAGAGCGAGTTCTCGCACAGGGAGCACACCTTGGCCCCCCACTTGCTGTACTGCATCTCGAAGAGCGTCACCGATGACAGCTGCTCCACCTCACCGAATGCCACGCCGGGCACATACAGCGCACAAATGAGATGCACCCACTTGCCCACGTCCGTCTCCTTGTAGATGCCGCCCTTATTCGGGCACAGTTCGCAGTCCGGCTCCGAGACGCCGGCGCGGCACGCCTCACAGAACCACGGCTCCGTGGAGCAGGTGGAATTGGTGCTCGAGATGCTCACATTGTCACTGACGCCGTAGCAGCCCTCGTGGACGGACACACCGCAGGCATCGCACTCGACAATCTCGTTGACGTCGTCGCTCCGCTCACCGAGACAGACGCAGCACATCCGCTTGGCGGGCGCACTGGAAAGTTGCACCGAACGTATGCCAATGGCCGGCGCACCCGCCACCGTCCCGTAATCATTACCATTGATGCCATTTTGCAGGGGCGGCGCCTGGCACGTGCCGGTGCCGGTGCCCTCACTATCGGCCAGCAGCTGTTGCAGCTGGAGCGTGGAATCATCACTTTCGGCCTCGGAATCCGCATTGGAGTCCGATTCACTGCTGCTGGCATCGCTGCTATCGCCCTCCCCATCACTCTCGTCCTTGCAGCCATCAATGTCTGGACAGAAGTCGCTATCCGATGAGCTCTCACCCAGATCCAAGTCGAGCAGGGCCTGCGTCGATATCTTCGGCTGGCGCGCCCGCTTAAATGACGCCATTACCCAATATCAATCAAAACCAACGGGGTTTTAATGGATATTTGCAAAACTGCTTTGTTTTTTTTTTATTTTTTCTTACTTAACCCCAACAGACAGCGTGACCGGCCAAAAAATAAATACCACATAAGAAAACCAGGGCAATCGGGCGATCAAACGAGACTTAACCCACTTAACACCCCTCTATTTAAACAGTTGAGCACCCTCTGTTAAACCGCAGAAAATAATACTGTTTTTAAAGGCTCCTTGTGGCTCCATCCTCCTCTTTACTTACAAAACAAAAATTACCACCGACATCTTTCACCTGTAATGCGTAAAATATGTTAAAGTTACATCAATTTCGTGGAAATATTAAATACCCCCCTGGTCGACAATGGGATAACGTTCTATATTTTATTGATTGAAATCGTATTCCATGATTTTGATATTCAGTTTAATATTACTAGCTAGTTAGCCCTCTCAGCCCTAAACAAATAGTTTTATCCGATAGATACAACAATTTTCTCCAAGATTGGCTAGTTTTCAGAAGTCCTTTTTATTGCATTGTTTACCTAAAAAGGTTCAAACAAAAATGGCCAAAGCATAAAACGTGTTTTTCTGTTTTCCAATAAGCATTTACGATAGCACAGTGCTGACAGAGCACATCTACTAATCTCTTGAATGTCTTGGACATGAGGAGTTATATTTTATCCGAGAATGGGATCGAGAAACAGGTCCAGGTATCGGTCTCGAGCATAAATTTGCTTTAAAAACGTACATATTTTGCTTTCTTGGGACCATCGCCAAAGACTTTGTATATTGTGGTTGGATGTAGGGACCTACTCAGCAATCCAAGTCCTTGATGAACAGCCAGCGGGAAGGTTGCGGTAAACAGCTTTTGTGTATAATTGAAAGACCAAATATTCACGAGTATGTGGTTGTATTCTATGCATATTTTGTCGTCTAGTAGAGACCTGACAAACTTAAAGTATTATATTAGCTTCCATTAATGTATTGTATGGCATGACAATGTCCTAAAAGACCTCCAACTGCTCGATGGGCAGCCATTTGGAGCTCTCCAATGCATCGTATAGACGACGATCAGCATCGATGGTCTCCCGATTCATCTTATCCACGTCTAGGACGAATTTGTGTTCCACTAGTCCAAAATCCTCGTCAGTTCCGCCATTGGAGGCGGCAGTCTGCTGCTGCTGTTGCTGCTCGTACTGAGCGCTACGCTGGGCGCTCCAGGCCTCTGCGTGCTGGGCCAGCGTCGTGGGGTTCGAGTGGGACTGTGACATGGCCTGTTGGTAGTAGGCGGCCGCGTCGGTGATGGAGGGACCAGCCTGTTCATAGTATCCCTGCCAGGCGTTGTAGCCCTGCCAATAGGTGCTGGTGGGATCGTAGTACTGCGAGTAGTCCGCACCGGCTGCCGGAGACGAAGTTCCTCCAGAGCCAGCATAGCCGTAGCTGGTGCTGCTGCCGCTGACGCCGAGAGCAGCGCCCAGCTCGGATTTCGGTTTCGGCACAGCATTGCAGATTTTGATCGGTTTCGTGCCCAGGCCGATGAATCCATTCATGTCGTACAGCGCCGCCTTCTGCTCATCTTCGATGCCGAAGCGCACAAATCCGTATCCCTTGGAGAATCCCAGACTGTCCAAAATCACTTTGGCTGTCTTGATGGACGTGAACTTGCTGGAGAAGATCTTGTACAGCTGATAGTCGTCAACGTCGGAGCTAAGGTCGCCCACCCAAACGCTGAACTCACGCTCGTTGCCCGGCAGCTTGTACGAATTGCTGGCAGAGTTCAGACGGAAGCGCACGATGGGATTGGTGCCGGGAATCGGTTTGCCATTAAGCTTGTGCATGGCATCCAGGGCGTGATCGTCGGATATGAAGTTGACGAAACAGTAGCCGGCAGGCTCTCCGGTGTATTTGTTACGCATCAGACGCACTGTGGTCGGATCTTCGCCCATTTTTCGGAAGGCCGCAATTATGAAGTTCTCCGTCATGTAGGACTCCAGCTGTATTTAGTTTAGAATGTTAGCTAACCTTTTTTACGGCGGTATACTTTATGCCACTTACACTTCCCATCCATAGCTGGCAATGTACAGACGCCATAATTGTAGTTGACAAAAATAAAATTTTCCGCGTCCAACAAAATAGAAACAATAGAGATGGGATCTGTGTGACAAGGATGCATCGATCAAAAATATTTTTTATATCAATATACCGATATATTTTTGTTGATAATATATCTGTAGGCTATATTTTTTTGACTGGAGCTTGGATATATATTATTTTCGGAATTTGTAAAAAATTGAAACAAATTTTCTGTTTTTCTGTTGTTGCACGCCATAACATATATATACTCGCGACTTTAATTCCACCTATCGATGCACAGCGTGTAAGGGTATTTTTGTGCGATAGGCAAAACTTATCGGCGTTTGACCGCCTCCGTTTCATCTGTGATTTGATTGATTTAAATCAAAACAAAACATTAGGAAAAATGCGTCTAACTTTGAGCCGGCTTGCCAGCCTTACGCCAAAGCTGAAGGAACTGCGCATCGTACTGGATCCTGCCGGCGAAGCCTCCAAAGGAGCGAGGTTCGCCACAGAATTGTTACCTTTTAACATTACATAATATATAAAAAGAAAAACCAATAATTTCAGGGAATTCGTGCAGAAATTCTATCCCAATCTAAAGAAGGACAACCCAAATCTGCCGATACTGGTGCGCGAATGCTCCGGCGCCCAGCCAAGACTGTGGGCGCGCTATGGTAATTATATAAACAGCTCACAGAATTTGCCAAAAAAGTTCGTCTGTAAATATCCTTCTGCAGATAAAGGCAAGGAAATCTCCGTGTCGCTGACTAACCAGGCGGCGCCCGACATTCAGAAACAGCTGGAAGCGGTGGGCAGGTAAACGGAGACGCCAAATGCTTATCCAGAGGGGCACGAAACCACTTGTAGGCGATATTAAAGCTCAAAAGACAGAAAAACTCAACTGTTCCATGGCTACATCTTGTTAGTTTATTTTGAAAATCGTACATTTGTAGGGAAATCCGCAAGTAACTCAATCGCTAAACGGTGGCAGACCAAACTGCTCCGGCTTGAAATCCTCCAGGGACCGCAACACTTGTGTGGCATGGGAGCAACGGTCCTCGGACAAGCGTGCATCGGGCACCATAACCACCTGCATGCCAGCACTTTCGCCCGCCGTCACGCCATTGGGCGAATCCTCAAAGACCAAACATTTGGTTGGATCTGGCGTGTCACCGAACCGGCCAGCGGCCACCAAAAAGATATCGGGCGCTGGTTTGCCGTTCTTCACCTCGGCATCGGTGGAGCCGCATACCTTGTGGTGGAACAATTCGAATAGCTCTTTGTGGTGTGTGGATTTCAGCTCCACCATATCAGCACCAGAGCTGGTGGCCAGGCAGAAAGGCACCTTATTGGCATGCAAATGACGCAAAAGCCGTGCGGCACCTGAAACACAATTAGGAAAAAGGGAAAGGAAAAATGGTTGAAATGCCTCGTTTCAAGCAACAATTCGAATGAATATGCAGAGAGCGCGAAGGAAAGCCGTTTAGTGGATGTGTGTGTGGGCTGGCGGGTGCTAACCTTCCAGAAGCGGCACGTTGTCTAGTCGCTCGTGGCACATGTCCGTATAGCGCTTGAGGAAGTCATTCAACGAAATGGGCAGCTGGCATTCGCTGATGACGATTTCCGCCGAACGCTGCTCTGTGGTGCCCATAACCCGAAAACGGGTTGCCAGCGGGAATGGTTGACCGAAGGATGCGGCTATTTGCTTATAGACCGCCTCGTATACTTTCTCAGTGTCTGGAAATGTTGGATACCAAAACAAATAAATGGGACATTAGTACCTGGCATCAATTGGGCATTTCCCATTAAGGTGAGCGCATTGTCTCGCTGCTGTTTCGCGTACTCCTCCCAGGTGATTGGCAGCTCGTATGTGTTGACCATAAACTCGGCCACCTGACGTGTCTGCAGGCCCATTAGCTGCTCCTTGACGTCGAACGTGAACGTCTTGCCATAGGGATCGAGTACCGTTTGGGCGGCATCCGTGTACAGGCGCTCGGTGTCTGGTTTGGTTTGTGCAACGAGACGCTAAATTCAACTACACTCACAAACGCATACGACACTTACCCAGCAACAGGCCGTCCATGTCGAAGATGCAGTGGGTCACATTTCGCAATACCTTTTGGGCCATTTTGCCTTCCTCCAGTGCGCGGCGCTGCTCTTATGTAATAAGCGTCAATTCTTCGTAAATTCGTCACAAGGAGCTGCAATATAAACCACACACAAATTACAACGTAATTTCGATACTAAGTCACACAAATAATTATTCCGCATTGCCAGCCCCTGTCCGTGTTATCTTTCCCCTTGACTTGGTATTTTATGCTTGTCCTTGACCCAAGGACGTTAGTTTGATCCACTTGCCCAAAATATATTAAAACCTTGACCTACACGTAATGTTTGCTTGCTTCCTGCCTAAATTTTGGGACCTGCGTCGTCGTAATCTGCAGTCAACCGCTTCACAACGCTTTCTGTTAAAAACTGTGCCCCAAAACGGTGAATGTTAGCGCTCTAACAGTCACAAGGTTGCCAGACTTTTGACTCTTGGGGCCTCTAAAAACTTTTCCACTACTTTTTTCTCATCATTTCACAATCTTTGGCGAAATAATGCACACACGCAGGTTCGTGTTAACACAAGTCGACCGCACACTGAATTTCCAGTCGAACATCCAACGTTACCGTGCTTAGAACCGTAGACAATAGTTGTGAATTGATAGCGTCACGATAAGAAAGGTATCTTCCGGCGCTATCAACCCCCCCTCCCACCGGCACAAAACTAAAGCATACAAATTGTTTTTCTTTTAAATTTATTAAAAAACAAATACATTTTAGATGTTCGAATGTAATCCGTTTGCTTTTTTCTGACGAAGAGGAATCTGCAAGGAAAATTATACATTTTAATTGGCAAGAGAACATTTTGGAGCTGCAATTTTCGTTAACGCACCTTAACTTAGGCGCTCAGCAAGCACACACCACCGGCCTTCTTGATTTTGTCTTCAGCTTTCTTGGAGAAGTACTTGGCCTTCACAATGACGGGGCGGGCGGGCAAATGACCACGGCCCAGCAGCTTGTAGTAGCCCTGCGTAAGGAAAAGAAATTCGATTTTAGCAAATTGTTCTTGATGCAACGCGAGCGACTGCATTTGTTTTTGTGGCTGTTTCTTTGATCTGTAAGGCTTTCTCTACATGGTGAGAGCAATTGTACGAAAGCATTCAGTCCGCCCATCGCCTTGGGGATATCTTCATGTACAAAGAAACAGCAGCAAACGCAAAGAAAGTGCACAGAAGGCTTCACAACTTACGAATTTCACCAAATCGATGACGGGAGCCTTTGTGCTCTTCTCCTTCTCCAGCTCGGCGAATTTCTCGGGACCGACCAGGGACCAGAGTTTGTCCAGATTGATTTCGGGCCTGAACTTGTGCTGGCGGCGCAAGTGGAAGTTCCTCATACCAACTTTGCCGAAATAGCCAGGATGGTATTTGTCGAAGTTGATGCGATGGTGGTGCATGCCACCAGCGTTACCGCGACCTCCGGGATGCTTGCGGTGCTTGCCGATACGACCATGACCGTGGCTCACGTGACCACGCAGCTTCCTGGTCTTCTTCCGCTTGATATTTGACTGCAAGTAGCAAAATAATTCGATTTTATTGAATGTTTTCTTGCACGTGTGACAGCGCTGCACGACTGCGGCCAATGGCGCACGTGTGGGAGGTTATGTTGCCATGCCGAAGTCGCTTTTGCCGTTTTTCTCACTTTCACATTGTGGTATTGCACAGTATTTGTTTAAACCATGTGCAGGTTAACAGCAGCACATTTAATCAATTATAGCCAAGGGGCTTGTGTGTTTATTTTGACATTAAACCTAATTCAAACTGCACAACGTTCACCGACGTCCACTCACCATCTTCAGAGTTTTGGAAAGAAAGAAGTGAGCAAAGTTGGCTGCGCTTCGCCATGACAGGCTGGAAATCGTGCACGGTGTGGGTTCCAGTGTGCTGTTAGGCGCACATCAACTCTGCAGTGTGCTGTTAAGAGCAATGTTGTGATTTAAACCACTCAAAAAGTGCTGTTAGGTGCACATTGTGTTCGACATGAATTTTGTTGAAATATTTAATAAAATATTGCTTTTATTTATAACATTTTAAATTTCTTCCACCAAGCGAAAGCGTTGGTGCTGCTTCTCTGGAATAACGTTGAAAAACTTCTTATAGATGGTTTGGTCCTGTCGTCCGGCATAGTTTCTCTGAACCCAGGTGTGATCCCAATTCGGGTCAATTGTCTCGCAGGTCACGTAAACTTTGCCGTGCTCCATGGCAAACAGAGTTCCGTTGCGCCCAAAGCCCACCTGATGGATAATAGTTAAACATTGTTTAACGTAAATCGCTCTTTTTGTGTGGGTTAACCTTACATTCAAGCCTGGATGGAAGCGCGTTGTCAGCTGTGTGGCCAGTATTGTGCCTTCAGAGACAATGTGTCCGTCCATCACTCGCCACCCACGGTGCTTTGGTCTGGGATGTCCTTTCTTGTTCCGGGTGCTGCCGCCGGTTTTCTTACTGGCATTACGTATGGTGGCTGCAGAGAACATTCGGAGTTAGATATCTTTAACAGGTTTGGACAGGTGTATGCGTACTTATCAGTGGCTGGTCTGCTTTGAGACACTGTAGCGACAGTTTTTGCATTATAGTAAACGACATTTCGGTGTTTTTAATTGAATAAATAGCGACACAGGACGGGTTTTTCTTTTTGTTTATGCAATTCAATATAAATTCAACTAGAGTGTTGCCACACCTAACAAAGGGAAAAAAATCACGGATTTCAATGGATAAAAAATTGTATCAAATTATTCTGCTTAAATTATTAAAACATAAAACAATGTTTTTTGTGTTAGTTTGTGTCAAAATATTGAAATATTTAATTAATCAAAGAAAAGTAACTTGGAAAGAGTTCAAAACTGTGCTGTTAAACGCACACAGCACTCTGTTAATGACAAGCTGTTTTGTGTAATTTTAACCAAATTAATTAGAGCAACACTCGCTGACGAAGAAAATTACAATTTTTATTGTTTGTCTCCAGCATTTAGAATTAAGTTTAAAGTTAGCATGTCGCCGTGGGGCAACATTTGTCGCATCTGCAGCAGCCCCGCAGACTATGAGATATTTGCCAAGATACCAACGTACTTGCATGGCACCACGAACGAGTTTCTGGCGTGGCAGAAGCCAATAAACATATTGCTGGAAGAGACAACGGGTTTGAAAGTACGGGAGGCTTTGATCATCCATCCAGAACAGTATAACAATCCTGATTTGTCTCCCTTCTAGAACTCTACAGACGATGGCCTGCCCCGAAATATCTGCGCACCTTGCATTTCGTATCTTAAACATGCCGTCACATTCCGCGAGCAGTGCATTAAGAATGCACTCAGCCTCAAGCTGGCGGCGCTCTATCAACAGAAGTCGGTGAATATCACGGAGAAGAGTAAAAAAGATAAGGAGAGTGCATTGTTCACGGCCGAGGATCTGCGTTATGTGGAACAGCGGCCGGTGCACAATTTGTTGCTGAATAACACCGTCAAGCTGGAGGGCACAAAAGACAAAGTTCACAAGCAACTGCTCAACCAGAATACGCCGCAGCTGACCGCCAATTCCGAGCAACGTACACAGTATCTTAATTTATTATATGACAAGCATCAGCACTGTAAGGCAAAGCAGGGCAGGGACATGGAGCTGCCCACCACCAGTGGCAATGGCATTGTCGATGACGAGGAAGACTATGCCGCTGTCAGCTCCAGCGATGAGAACGAGGAGGCTGCTTTGCTGCGCAAGCACAAAAATTGCTACAACTACAGCGAAACGAATTTCGAGGAAGACGATCCCATGGAGCAGGATCAGTTGCGCGACATTAAGGTGACCATACCAGAGCCCATGTGGAAGGAGCGCAAGTGCCCAGCATGCCTCAAGCGTTTCATGTTCGAGGACTCGCATCAGACGCATCTGGACAACTGCGTGGAGTATCAGTTCATCACATTTGTGACTGAGATGACAAAGTTGCTGGAAATCAGAAAACAGAAAATGGTCTCGCCCCACGAGTTCATCAGGCGCATGATCTTTGCACTGCACAAAACCTGCACCTGGCTGCAGGAACATTCCATTGACACGCTGCTGGCCGATAAACTGAATCAAGTGAAAGTCTCAAATGGTGAGAGAACAGAGAAAGAAGCGCCCACCCAGCCGGAGTTGGAGGTTAAAATTGAGGATCTGTTTGACTATGTTAGTGGCACGACAACTCCCATTACGGCGGAGAATAATGTCCTGTATGCGATTGCACGCTCTGAGAGTACAAATTCTCAGTGCAAGCCAAAAACGCCGCTGGCAGAGAGATTACTAGACACTGAGATAATCAATGCCCCAAGAGCTTCGCTGGCAGGGGTGAAGAAACCGATTCCCATTCGCGTTAAACCCGCAAGCAGTTCGATTGGTATGGGTCTGCGACCCTCTCCGCAGCAGGGCTTGCGACCCTCTCCGCAGCAGCCCAATGGGGAACCTCTTGGTTTGGGTCTTCGGCCACCAGCGCAGCAGCAGCAACAGCAACAGCAGCAGCCCAACGGCGATAAGCACAAGGAGCGTGTAACGTTTCTGGAAAAGCTCCAGCGCGCTGCAGTCACACCTGGCTCTGGCACTCCGCCAGTTCAGGCGGCAGCTGCAGCTGCAGCCCCACCCTCGTTCTCGGCTCGATGCGGTCAGTGCAATTTACCCTTTGACTCTGTCTCCGACTTGGAGATTCACAATATTAATTATCACAACAGCCAAAACGAGAATGAACCCAATACTATTCTAAGCACAGACGACGATGACCAGAGGCGTCGCATAATTGCCCTTTTCGAAGATGATCTATAATAAGTTCCACCGCCCCCACCCCCACGTGTATGTCGTGATATACGCATAGTTTTTTGTTTTATCCAAAGATTTAATATGTTTTGTGTGTGATGCCAAAAGTATTTCTTAGTTTTGTGGTTTATTCATGTCGTGCTTTTTTTTTTTAAATCCATTTTGCAGCATTTTTATTTATTTTAATGTATAATGTAGCACATTCTCATATACAGCCCAGGGCTGGATACCAATTAATGTCTAATCTAATCCTAAACTAATCCACAGACCAATAAAGAGATACCCAAGACTTAAGCGTAGACTTTTAGCTGTTCCAACAGCCAATTGCTGTCCACAATGTTCAGATTTAGATAGTTCTTTAGCAAACGCATCAAATCATAGTTCAGATTGGATTCTTGCAGCGCAAATAAACGATTTAGCGCATTCAGAAATTTCTCGGGTGTCGCCAAGCTGCCAAGCAGCTGTGGCTCGCCTCTGGCCAACAGGTTGGACATTACACGAACACCATAAATGGTGTCCCAATCGCTTCTAACATGGCCAACAAAAAAGTTGACCAGACTTTCAGCCTGCTGCACGGATAGCTGCTCGTGCTTTGAGCAGACAATATTCAGTTGATATATAATATACATAAAATATTCGCTGCCCTGATCTTCTGGCCGCTTCTCGTGCAGATGCTCCATAATGTAGTTGCGATCCACGGCGCTCACAGCGCAGGCGGTGTGCGTGGCAATCAGGTACAAGCAAATGCCAGCATCATTCTGGAATTTATTCAAGTCATCCGGGGGCGCCGTGTAGAGTTTCCACAATTTGGGGACTAGCTGCATTTTAAGCAAAGTTTTGGCTGCCTTCGTGCAGGTGGCCAATAAGTTGGCCAATGTCCAAAGGCAGCTGCGTTTCAGCCGCTCCTCTTTGCCATCCAAATATGTGACCAAATAGCTGCCTGCCAATGCTGTGATCTTCTCCGAAACGTGAGCATCGCCCAGCGACAGGTTGCAGAAGCATTCGGCGGCATCGATTTGACGTTGTATATTTGCACCTGAAAAGCAGCATATATAAATATAATGAACTCTGCTGGGAATGGTTGGAGGGGGGCTTCAATACCGCTTAGTTCCTTGACGAGTACCTGTATGGCTCCCGGGATGCCAACGAATGTACTGATATTCTCGTTGCCCTGCAGAAAGGCATGGCTCAAACGGTACATGTCCTCCGATGTGGCATGCTTACGCCTCTTGATCCTTGCAGCCAGTCCACAGACATCCTTGGCACTCAGATTCTCCAACTCTCTAATTTCGCTCCTGATCTGCCCCAAGCCGAAGCGCAGCGCATCTGTTGCAAACGTACGCAGCACCTGGCGTTGCTCTTTGGCATAGCTGCGGATCTTAAGCCGCAGCATGGAATCTTCGGTTCGTTGTGAGTCCATTCTATTTCGTTTTTGTTGCTGTCTACTGTGCCTTGAAATTTAAATTCACATAAGCTTCAAATAAAAAAAAAACCAACTTAACCCACTCAAGCCCCCTCCATTTAAACGGGTGAACAACTGGTGTTAAACCGCGGAAAATACAGCTGTTTGTAGGTTAATCTAAAAATATTAGACCCGAAAACGCGATTTAAATTTGTAAGTTTTCTATATTATATTCTATATTACATGCTTCGCTGATAAAGTTAATCGCAGGAACCTTTGCTTGAACTTTGGAAGGCAGTGTATTGCCCATTTCATGGGAATTTAACAAATAATCCAAGATTACGCTAAGTTTGTCAGTCGAACTATTCATAAATATGAATTTTACGTTTTGTCTGTTTTGTCTGCTTTAGATGAGATGCGAATTAGATGGGAACCTGACACCAGGTTTGGCGCTTACACAGCTCCGCATGCTGGCGTCGTGAAATTATTGATGAATTTAAGAATTCAGTAGAATTCAAATGATAATTGAGTGGATCAATGGTCGACCTCTTTGAAAGATAGGCCAGCTTATTAAGTTTGAGATTACGCTCAGCTTTTTAGTCAGAGCTCAGAATCGATGAAGTGAAGATGCAGCTGCTTACAGGAATATTATTGCTGATCGCCGCTGTTCTGCTTGTTGCCATTGAGACTGAGGCAGCTGTCTCGCGGGGTATCTTTAAAGACCCTGCTCATCCAGGCAAATGTGTGGTCGATGGACTCGTTCTGAATGACGGCCAGTCGGCTCGTCATCCCAAAATGTGTGCCCGTGTGGTGTGCGGCAAGAATAGCGAAGGAGAGATACAGACGTGAGTTTTTTTTAACTGAACCATAAGATTCAAGATAATTGTGAATTATTTATTTAGATGTGGCGCTGTTGGGCTGCAGCCTGGCCAAAAGTTTGGCAAGTACACAGCACCAAATGCTGACTATCCCGACTGCTGTGATCGTGAAATTCTTAAAGCCTAGTTAACTTCGAAAAATTAAATAAAGAAACTATTTTTGCTTTTCTTTTACGTGAACTGCCTTAAAACTTTTCAAGTTTTATTTTATTTGAGTTTGTATTTTTAAATACCCAATGGTCGACAATGGGTTAATCATTCACTGTACATGATCGGAAATCATATTTCTCGATTTTGAGATTCCGTTTAATATTACCAGCCAGCTAGAACCCTCACTTTTTACAAGTTTGGTTAAAATTAAGGACTCCTTTTTATAAGATTGCTTTTAAAATAAGGTTTAAACAAAAAAAGACAATACTTTTTTTCATTTTGGTACGTTAGGTCATCTTCTACTACTGGATCGGATCTTCAACATATTCACTTCAAATTTAACTTTAATCGGAATTTTCTTCATAAAGCTTTATGTATCTGATGGATTGGTTTGAGTACCGACATATGTATATGAATCCCATATTTTTCAAGCGACAAATCAAACCTTTTGGCAATGTTCTCTAAACAATTCTGAAAACGAAACTGAACACTAAAACAACTTGTTTATTTCACTTTATTATTTCAATTAGCTTTCTGTTACGATAACTAAATATACCAAGGTTTCTTTCTGCCTAATCACAAGAATTTCTTCGCAATCGATTGAGTTTATCCTGTACGCCTACTACATTTTGCCTTCTGCCCAGCTTTCATTATCTTTTGCCGAGTTTTTATTGCCTTGGCATCTTAACAACCTTATCCCAACTCATTCTCATTCTCCTCCACCCCCAAAGCCCACCTGAAGCACTCAAGTGCAACTTTACTTTTAAGTGTACGAGCGACAAACTTTGTGGAATGGAGAAGGGAAGGCAAAAAAAAACTTTCATTCCCTCAGTATCTGCGCGTACTTCTCCAGAGTGTTTATTATTAAAAAATTTGTTGCCATTTTCTGCCCTCAGGAAACTTTTGCCTTCAAGGTTTATGACCAAATTGCGTGCACACGTGTACAACACCAACAGCAACGGCCAGTGAGGGGCGAAAGGGTATGTCTGGGGCATTTGGGGGAGTGCAGCATCCATGACCGAGAGCGTGTCGGAGTCCATGAAAGGCGATTAGGGTCAACTGGCTTTGGTTAGTTGGGCAAAAGGCAGAATCCCCAAAAGAAAAACCCCAGACCACCTGTTGGCTTATCGTTTTGATGGCTCACTCTCTCTCTCTCTCTGTAAAGTTTTGTGGCAATTAGTTTCAACGTTTTTTCTTTCAGTGTTTCGTGAGATACTTAGCTTTAAACTGAGATACTTCTTGTGCTCCATGTCTCTGGATTCAGACATAGCCTTTCTAGATGTCTGTAAAAGCGTAAGGATACTCTTTTTTAAATCTCGCGCGTCATGCAGCAGCGCCCCTCGTCTAGATTTTCGCTACTTGAAGGTGCAGTCATTGCAGAGCAGCCTGCTAGTGTGGCAATTAAATCCAGAATATAAGATTTTGTTCTGATGATAATACAAAGTATCTTATTTCATTTTGCAAAAGGGTATACATGGCATCATTTCTCTGAAGCCACAGCATCCTTGTTTATTCTGATGTATTTGTTGTTTTATTTTTTTGTTGCTTTTTCACATTAATGCAGTTTGACTAACTATAAAGTAACACAAAAACAATTCAGCTTAGTGCTAAAGTTAGACAGAAAGAAGCGTTAGCGCCTGACTGGGTTAAGTTCTTGGCATAGTTTTGCTGTATGCGTGATGCAGGAAACGATTAATTTCTTTTAGTAGAGTAAAGGGAGAGGGTAATCATACAGAGAGGGATTATTGCTCCAGAGGGTAGAGCAGAATACTCACAGAGAGGGGGCAAAATACTCACAGCGTGTGCGTGGGCAGAAAAGCGTCACCGAAATCCCCAAAAATAATAAGACTAATATTACACAAGAGTCTTTTAGCTAGCGCTAAGGCAGTGGTAAAACTTAAATACTAAACATAATCGTTGTCCAAGTTTGAAGATCGTTGAGGTCGTTGGTCGTTGCCCGTTGGCTGCATTTTGAGTTCAGTTTGAAGTGTGGTTTTTTGTGTGGATTGTGGTTGGCTCTACCAGGCCTTGTTCCGGCTGTTGCTGAGGCGTTCGGCGCTGCCAGAGCGCAGTTCCTCGCTATCGCGACGTAGCAGCAGATCCTCCCGACGAGTGTCCTCACGACGACTTTCCTCTCGTCGGTTCTCCTCTCGTCGGTTCTCTTCTCGTCGGATCTCTTCTCTTCGGTTTTCCTCTCGGCGGTTCTCTTCTCGTCGGTTGTCCTCCCGGCGACTGTCCTCGCGATCATCGAGTCTCTCCAGCTGCCAGAGATCATTGTTCAGAAGTCGGCGACCATTGGACCAGCTCAAGCCAGCACGAGCCCCCTGCCCATTGATGCGCGTGGTGAGCAATCCATTCAGGTTCGAGTCCAGCAGCAACGGCGATCCACTGATCAGCTGAGCCTGGACAGAGGCACTGGCGGGTTGGGCGAGTATCAGCTGCGGCTGCGAGGTGCGTTCGATGGTGAGGCGGGCGCTGGGCAACTGTCGCCAGGCGTCCAGATCGCGATCACGGGACAGCAAAGTGGTGCGGGACGAAGAAGAGGTTAATGATGAGGAGGCTGGTAGGCGTGAGAGCAGTGTGGGTGGATGCGAAACAACGGTGGCCTGGACAGTCTGACCGAGCAGTTGGCTGGCGCTGGGCAGGCTCTGGGACAGGAGTAGGGTCTGCTGATCGAGTAGTCGCTGGCTCTGACGACGCTCCTGCTGCTGTCGTCGCTCCTGATCACGCTCCCGCTGCTCCCGATCTCTTAGCTCGCGTTCCCTCAAGTCTCGCTCCCGTTGCTCTCTTTCCCGCTGCTCTTGTTCTCGCTGCTCGCGTTCTCGTTGCTCCTGCAAGCGCTGAAGATCGCGGAGCTGTTGCTCCTGCTGCTGTCGCTGCTGTTCCTGCTGTTGGCGCTGTTGTTCCTGCTGCTGGCGAAGTTGTGTCGTCTGCTGGACCTGCTGTTGGAACTGCTCCATCAGCTGCTGTGCCTGGACACGGGCGTGGTTCTCGGACTCGCGTCGACTCTGCGCCTCCAATTGCAATTGGCTGGCCTGCTGGGCATCGGCCAGACTCTGGGCATCGGCAATCGCTTGGGCGGTCAGGCGTGACTGCAGCTCCTCAATGCTGCTGTAACGGGATGAGGAGGAGGAGGATGCGGAGCTGCTGATCCTCTGCTGCTGCAGCTGTTGCTCATCCACACGCTGATTCGAAACGATGGCATTGAAGCCGCTGGCATCATCGGCCGTGTACTCCACAATGCGTCGCGTGCCATCGGGTTCGATCAGAGAGTACTGTCCCTTGACCAGATCCCCATCGCGCTTCTCCTCCTGCCGCTTATCGTCGCCGGTCAAGGTGTCGCGCACATCGTAGGCAAAACTGTACTGCGGACGACTGTCATAGTCCTCGCTGGAGTTGGGTGTAATTGTGGTGGCATCATCATTATCGTCCTCACTGTTACCATCATTGCCATTGAGATCTCCACGAAGCAGCTGCTGCTGCTGCAGCTGTAGGCTGGAGGAGGAGGATGATTTGCTTAGCTGATTCAGGGCCTCCAGGTTACGCAGATAGGAAGAATTCGCCACATTGCAGGTCAGCAGGCTCAGGCAGAGCAACAAGTAGGTCTGAAAGTAGATAAATGAATGTCCTTTTTGGGTAATCGACATAAATCATTCGTTGACAGCATCAATTGGCTATTGAATTTTTCTCGGCTTGCCTTTTGGTTTATTTAGCCATAAATTTGTCATGTCTAAAAAACGTTTTGTATGTGTGTGTGTTATTTGACAGGATTTTTTTGTTGCAAATAATTCTGCTTCGTTTTTAAATGCGAATATTTTGGTTTCTTTTTTGTTACCTTTTGTACGGAAAATATATAAAGAAAATGTTGTGTCCAATTCTTGTTGAATAATACGAAAATCTCGAACTATTTAGCTGCTAAATTTGTGTAGATTTTAGCTTTAATAGAGACAGTTTTCAAAGAGCATTTACATTTGTTCTGTGCTTTTATGCTGATTTTTGGTACATTCTAAATTGGCCTAATACGCTTTTGGCTTTTATCCTTTTTGTATATTTTTGATTATCCTGATTTATGTGGCACAACACAACCCTTACAACAAATACGGAATCCTGTCTGTCCGACTGTCTGTCTGTGTAAATTTATGGCCTAATGGAAAACTTACCCGTTTCATGACTGCTGGACGTTTAATATGCGACTAGTTGGGCGGCTGTTTTGTTACTTGGGCAATTTGTTTAGGTGGCTGCGTCGGCCTGTTGGCTGGTCTGCTGTACAACTGATGGCAGTCCATCAACCATCGGTCATTTTATATCATCTGCAAAATATAAAAAAAAAAGAACCCGAACACACTTGATATGTGGCCAGCTTTCAAATTTGTTTAGTTAGGGTTACAAATGACCTTCCGCAGAAACAGATACGAGATGCGAGTTACTGGTGCCTGGCATTCACTTTTCAAACTGCAAATATTGTCACCCACTGGCCCCCTTAACGACAATGATAGAGAAAGATCTGCAAACTGCGTACACCTGAAAGAGGAAGTAGCCAGTGGGAAGAGTGGGTGAGGTGAGAGCAGCTGATGTGGGTAGACGGGAAATTGGAAATTGGTTTTGGGCCTGGTTCAGAGTCTCTCTTCTCTCTCATTGACCGAATCCCCCAGTTGTTGGTCTCATGAATTTGAAATTTTTCGTAACTACAACTGCAGCTCCAATTGCAACAAAACGTTCGACCAGCACACTCCATGGACACAAGGGGAAATATGATATAGCTGGTTGGCAGATACGCAAAAGAGGCGCCAGGCTGGAACGGCAACTTTAATGGACTACCACTGTAACCAGAGCACACTTTATCGATTAGCTCGAGATTCCATTATACGACAGGTTTTTCATCATTGTTACGTTAGAGCCCAGCCTGACACATTTGTCAGTTGCATCTCTCTGTGGGGACCAAACGGAAGATTGATTAAACGAAACACGCACAGAGAATGGGATGGGGCTAAGGGTAAAGGTAAAGCGAAACAATTGTACGGCTTAGAAGCTTGAATATTTTCCAACTCTGAACTCGGACAGTTGAGAGCCACAGAAGGTTTGAAGTAGAAAATTCTTGATGAACGGTGTTGAGCTTTTTTCAGGAAGATCGTGCTTCGGCAGTGAAGGATGCATGCAACGATGGATGTCCGGGCGCTGCAGTATTTCCAGGATATGCAGGGCACATTAAATCTCAAATAAACTCAGCCTGGCTTTGGGACGATATATAGGGTGTGGAAAATCCAGCTGTCTTAGCCAAGAAGCTGGTTTACCAACAACTTAAAAGACTCTCCAGTAACAAAATAAAAGTCCAGATTTCGCGTGATTTATGCTAACTGGGCAAAGGAATGCCTCAAGGCAATTATTAAATAATCAAATAATTAAATTAAATAATAAATAATTATTAAATTATAATATTAATAATTTGTTTTCTTGTGTCGTTTTTAACAGGAGAAATGTGGTTGTCTTAATAAAATTATTTACGAAATTTCGAGACGATCGATGGCGATCCTTCCTTCCTGTTCAACTGAGCTCAGCCGTAAAATCCGCCCACCCACATGTGTGAGATTTATGAATAGAGAAACGCCAACTGGGTTTAAGGATGTGACACTGGCGTAAAGCGAAGCGTACAAACTTTATCAGCTGTGAAAACAAAAGCCAACAACATCCAGTGGCAGGAGCAGGGAAAACATCGGGCCACAGCATTGTGTCAGCGGCGTGCACCCGTAAAAACAAGTAAAATTCATCTAAAGAGAGCGGCTAAACAAAGGCAAGAGCAAAAATAACAAGCGAAGAAGCGGAGGCGCAATGGAAAATAAAAACAAGCAGTTGGAAGGCGTGACTCTCGACTGGGTGTGTACCCTGTACACTAACTAAAATACTTAAAAAATGTGTGGAAACATAATCATTATTATGGGTGCACATAAAACACTTTTACAGCTCCGATAACTGTGCCTTTGTTTATAGTTCCAAAACTTATTCCTTCTATTGCAAAATGTGACAGGGTAAAGCACAGAGCACGTCTCTCTTTTTCGTTGATCGGCTAAGAACTTATTGCGCAGGTAGCGTAGGCGAGAGCAAGGTGAGCTTACTATAAGGTGACGCGTTCACCACATCCGCTCTCATTTTAGGGTTCATGCGTTTGTCAGCATTCAAGCTAGCGCTTGCCTCTCTGAGAGACGAGACAGCGAGTTGAACGGCGTCACCTTATTAGTACACTTACCTGCGGCGGGAGAGACCCTCAGTGAAGCTGAGAGAGTCAATTAGGCGCTCTCTCCCACCTACGCGTAAAGCTAGGGATGGAACTTTTTGATCTTGCCTGCTGTGAGAGCCTGCTACAAATATACTCTGGCCCTTTATGATTTCAGGGTATCACATGAAAACTTGCTGCAGAGAAAAAATTGTCATGCATGACTGAAATACAAGAAGAGGCGAGCGAGGCCGAAAGAAGAACAGGCGCAAGAGCAGCAAGCAAAAAAAAAATGCCCACCAACACGCATACCCCACACCCACGGGCCACGTTATTCTGTTCTGTTATTCATGCCGTGAAGCATAGTTTTAGGCGCCGCGCCGCACCTCTCATTCGAGTGTCCGTCTGCACGGATACGGTGTAACATGTGTATTCCTCCACCCTACCGCCCATCATACACCATTGTTGGACAATTTTTCCTGCCCCAATTCGCCGGCTGTGTGTGTTTGTCTTTGAAACGCGTTTTCCGCTTGTTTTTCCCGCGTTGGATTTGGGATGAGCTGTGGGGAAAAAGCCGAGTAAAATTGAATGGCCAGCAGCCGACATCAGGCGCGAGCACCGTTGTAATTGAGTTGACTGTGCCGAATGGGAAAATAGTTCTGCCGATTCTGTCGTGCATTGCAACTGCAGAATAGTACATGTGGAAAATCCCCTCGCTCGGGCCCTTTTCCGTGCTGATTAATCATTTTTCACTTTATTTTTGTTTGGTTTCGCTGCGCAACATGCTGTTTGAACCATTTACCCCACTACCAAGGTTCATTACTCGCAAATAATCAATTTCAATTGCCAATTGCAATTCAAATTAAGTTTCTTGTTTTGCCTAATGGAGTTTTTATTTATTTAATTGTGAAATTATCTGCAAATTCTAAAATGAAGGCAGCATTGTGGATTTCTTTGAGTGTTTTGACTCAGTGGATAATGGGAATTTCGTTTAGGGATAAACTTGCTGCAGAGAAACCATTAGATTACTACAGTACTTTATAAGCTGATTTATTTACTTACTATTGTCTATTTTATTTCGGGCTAAAAGAATGAGATTAATGAATAGAAATCGTTCGCTTTCTTTTACCATTTCTTCTTGATCGTTTTTTATACAGATTTTCTAAAGATTTGTCAACCGATTTGTCATTTGAAGAATAGAAATATCAGGATCAATACAGGTATCAGATATCAAGATTTAACCATAAACTGAAACAGCAGCTGCAAAGTATCTAGAATCTGAGGATATACTTTATTTGTAAAGTGTATTTTGATTTTTTCATGCAAGTCCTATAATTAATTTATTTGTTTTTACTTAGGTTTTGTTTTAATTACAATTACAAGCACACTCTTTTGAAAAAAAAGGTTGGCAATTAAAACACAGCTGCAATTTACATTCATTGAAATGTAGAGGAAATTAAATGTACCAACATACATATGTATATGTATAATAAGAAATATATATGATGCTGGCATCCATTGCTGCAATATTTGAGTCGTGAATTTGTCTACAAAAAATGTATGCAATTTCCTCTCTAAGCCTTCTTTAGATTTGATTGCTGCATTTTTCTCTCTCTACTAAAAATGCAGCATGGCAAATATTTTGATTTTAATTTGAATTGTGGAATTTTGTTAGTCCTGCAACAAAACAGATGCCAAATGCAATGGAAATTGTGATTTCATGGTTGGGCATCGCATCTCCATCTCCATCACCATCTCCATCTCCATTTCCATTCTCCCTGCCGCTGGGCATTGCTGCAACCAAAAATTCTGTTATGTTTTGGTCAAAAGTGGATGCAATACAATCTGCGGTGGGCAGCCGGATGCCTCTCTATGTCACCAATGCCAAGAGCCAGAGCCAGAGCCAGAGCCAGAGCCATGCACTGATTGAGTAGCAGTGTGGAGCGCTTGGGGATTTTTAGACAGACAGAAATAGAGGGGAACTTTTGGCCTGGCTGAGAGTGTTTCAATTTATTTTTCATATTTTTGTTTAACCGCTTTTTGTTTTACTTTCCTATTGCTGCAGAAATTCCCCCGGTTCGCACACACACACACACACACACACAGCAGAATGCCAAAAGTTAAAATAAACAGCAATAGACAGCAGAAAAAGCAGGGAACAGGGAGCCCAACAGGACAACACGCAGGAAGGCAGGAAACACTTGAAAAAAGTATGCCAACAATATTTCTGCCATCTCGCTGGCGCCCCATCTCTCGCCCCCTCTCTCTCTCTCTATATATATCTATCTATCTATCGCTGTGTGCTTTTGTGCTATTGAAAAGGAAATGAATAGCAGGCAGAAAAAGTTAAATCACCTCCAGCAATTGGGCTACGGCTGTGGCTCTGTGGGAATGCGAGTGGTATGGGCATCGGAATGGCGAATGGTGTCTGTGTGGCACAGACACACACCAGCAGCTGCCAGTACTGCTCTCTACTGCTCCCTCGGGTGGTGTATGCGCAATATTCGCGCATCGGCCACTAAGCTGCGGCCTGAGCCCTGGAATTTGTCGCATTTTCTTGCGTTTTCTTCCCTATCAGAGAGTATAATGACTTTGATTTGAACTTCTGGAAAACATTAAAACAAGACGTAGTAATAGAATAGAATATAGAATAGTTGTAGCTCTCCGTTAACAGCCTGTGGTCGTTATCGTAACTGTTAGCGCTCGCTAACAGCGCTGCAGCGCTCTGAGAGGGATCGCGTTCGCTCTTACGATCCACAAGGCTGTCAACCAGCCGTAGCTTGCAAGCTAGAACATGACTCATGTTAATAACGCTTAAATCTTCATTCTAACCAGCCGCAAATCTGTATAAACAGTGAAATAAACGAAGGAAGAAATGTATGTATTATATTTAAATCTGTCCCGACTTTCTTCTTTCTTTCTTTCTTTCTAAACTTTGACTTCTTTGACTTGGGCTTCATCGGACTCATCCTTGGAGCGCCGATACGCTCTCCTACAATCAGTCTCAGTTTGAAGGGAATAATCGATATGAAGCGTATCAAAACCTTCGACTATTTGAATTTCGCTTTTGCTTGTCTTATGTTTTTGCTTGATTTTATTTCGTTTTCGTTGTCTTTTTGTTTTTCGATTTTCTACTTTCTATTTGCTGTGGGAAATTGCTTTCAATAATGACGGAAAAGTGTTGTGCTGGTTGGGGACATGGGTTTAATGGCTGCTGCGGCACTTGTCGCTGTTCTCCACAGCGTTCGTACTTTTCCATCACTCTTCAGGCAATTTGAATGCACTCATCGTTGTGTTTGGGCATCAATAAATTGCCACGTAGCGGTGCGAATCCTGGCGTGTCCTTGGCCACAGCTCTGCCACGCTCCCCACACACAAACACACATACACACACACATCCAATCATATGCATGTCCGGCAGCGCTTCCTGCCTTCCTGGTTCCTTATGCAGTCCGTTGTGGCCGCATTGCACTTTTCAGGCAAGCAACGCCAACGGCAGGCAGGCAGGCTTATCGTCATTTGCATTTGGACAGGCTACAGAGAACTGACAGAGAGGTCCTTCTGCCGAGCAGTGGAATATATTAATATATTTCCCATTACCACGACAGCAAACAACCTTAATGAAAAGGGATACCACCAGGCTCACAGCTTGAAGGGCCTCGTTAATAACCTCCATATCGATTCGCTTAATCACGTTCACGCTTGCATGCCCTTGTTCGACGTGCAGGTATCATTTGGAGTGTTTTAAGTATGTAACTTTTTTTCCAATATTTTCCATACATTGTTTCCATTTTTGCTTACAATCTACGCATTTTGAAGAGTTTTTCACTGACTGCACTGCGAATATATTCGTACTTAAAAGGGAATACATTTTGAAGAGTTTGCTCGCAATAATTTGCTGTAATCATTGGCATATTCCGAATGCCATTGAGTGAATAAATTTAAGAACATATGACGTCAAAATTTAATTATAAATTAGGTAGAAAATGTGAGTGTGTTACGGAGTTTAAAAAGAGTTTAAACTGAAAAGTTTCACATAAATTTGTCGATGCTTTTAAGCTCAATTCAATTGTGAAAGTTTGAGAACGGTTTTAAGCAGCGGAAAAAGTGTTTGCAGCACGTACGCCCCAAGACAAAATGGGCAAAAAAAAAAAAAACCCCGGCATAAGTCAATAAAATGTGAAAGGGAAAACTCAACTCAAACCTTTGCCAATGATAAGCCAAGAGCCTAAGGGCTATGAGTATTCCATGAATGAAAGATAGAAGAGGTTCAAGGACAGCCGATGAATTTGTAAATTTTCCTTAGCTAAAATGTTTAAATTTTAGGAATGGATTAACAGTGGAATAGTTCAGGCTTCCGCCTCAATTGCGCTGGTCAAAACGAATTTTGTTTGGCTATAAAAATACCTATAGTATTTTTAATTTTAATTACACGAAACACACGCAAAAGCAGCACAGATTTCATTCAGATTTATACAACAATTAAAATGTTGTATACGCAAAGCGTTGCCTCGCTTTAATGTTTTATTTTGTTTTGCATGAAAATGATGCAGAAAAATATTTATTTGCGCATTGCGACTGTGGAAATTAATGAAAATTTTATTCGAAGAAGAGGCCCACAGGGGACTGGGGCACCAAAAGAAAATCAATTACTGGAAAATTGTATTTAATTAACAAGAGAGACTCTGCCTGGACTCTAGATATCTTTCACCTGTAGAACGAGCGCGAGGAGGGAGTAGGCCGTCTTGAGGGTGGCATAGAAGGCATTTAAATTGAGTTCAATGATGCCACCAGCCTTAATCACACGTCTCCTGCCACTCAACGTGAGTTGCGTGAAGATGAGTAAATCGTGTCGATGCTGCCGCGATTCTTCATACCATTTGCTGGAAAATATCGCATAGGGTAAGCTTTCCAACTCTTCGGCAACGACACTGGCGAAATAGCAGCTGGGAAATAGCTGAACACAGATCACGGCAAAGAGTATCATGTAGTAGAGCACTGTGATGATATCCCTCACATAGAACAGCAGATACGACACAATCAGGCAGAGACTGGCCCCAGAGCTGCCCAATTGAACGAGCTGTACGACACTTATCGCATTTCGTGTGAGATAATGGAGCCTGTAAGGGACAGAATTAAAGTTCTGGCTAATTAAATGCACATTTTCTCATACCTCATGAGTGTCTTATGCTGTTCTATGTAAGCAAACAGCTGTTGATGGTGATTAACACCAATGGGATTCGCAGCATAGCCCAGTTTTCGTATACGCAGGCCCCACATATGTATGTGTCCACCCAAAAAGCAGAGCGTCAGTGGAGCATAGCTGTCATTGGCCAGAGCCTGAGCGCCCTCCAGCAATATGCTGATGCTCTGATAGCCAAGGGCCATCGCAAACAGATATCCATTTGCACGCCAATCGAAGGGAAAATATGCGGGATACAGCAGCTGCCGATCAGCGGAAGCAATTAGAATCAGAATGCCGAGCAGAAACAGTACGTAGAAGATGGCAAAGCTGGCGTACAGACATCGGAGGAAACGTCTCGCATGGCACTGCAAATGATCCGCGTAGTAACGATGCTCCTCCTCGCCATCCACATATCCATCCAGTTCGATGAGCAGCCTCTCGATTTCCACACTATCCTGTAGATGATAAATAGTTGCCACATGCTTAAGGCTGCAGGCCGCGCAACTCATCAAAATGCTGAGGTTCTTAAAGAGCTCGGCGGGGGTGGGCTGCAGGGCCAGATTAATCAGCAGATGCACTGGTAACATGAAGGTCACGAGCACATGCAGCAGCACCATGTAGATCTGGACAGGACGTTGTGTTGACCCGAAGAATGTCGGTGCCATCAGACGCATGCACCACCAGAACGGCTGATAGAAGCGAACACTGTCGATGATGGCGTCGTTGGACATCGTGAACCTAATGGAACCGTCCGCCACACCTTTGGCACCTTTTATGTGTATTTTGTGGCATGAAAACACACTGGGAGAAAATCAGTGCAAGTGAATTGTCTGTTCAAAGTGCATTGTGTGTGGATATTTTTGTCAGTGTCGGCTAAATGACATTTAAACGGCGCCAATGCAATTTTCATAAAGCCTCCCGTTAATGGTCGACCATTAAGTGGTAATTAAAATTAATTGAATATTCAAGTGTCCACTCATTTTCGCAGCGACATGGCCAGGGTAAAGAAGGAGTAGGCCAATCGTATGGTGGCAAAGAATGCGTTCAAACTAATGCCAATCATTCCGCCCGCCTTGAGCTCCACCTTCGCCAGAGTCAGTTGCATGAATATCAGCAGAGTGCGACAGTATCCGCGATCCATTCCCACCCAATTGCTGGAGAAGATGGCATCCGTCAGTCGATTGAGCTCCACAGAAATCAGAGTCCCGTAGTAGCAGCAGGGAAAGAGCTCCAGGAGGATCGCCGCAAAGTAAACGCCGTAGTAGGCCACGTCGAAATTGTTTTCCGCAAAGAAGAGAATGTAGACGAGGGTAATGGAAATGCTGATGCCACTCGCGATAAATTGTCCAAATTGCGAGAGATGCATTGTGCTACGCAGCAGTTGAACGACTCTGAAAGATATTCATTAATTTATTAAACATCATATTAATTAATAATAATATTCAGTAATACATTCTAAAATGATGAAAATCTATTAATAAAAAATTAAAAAAAATATTATACCACTTAAGTATAAAAATAAAAACGAGAAGGAACGTGTGAGTCGCTTCTGGGGACGCGACTCTACTTTTATACCCGTACTCAGTCAGTATATACATTTTTGAGCTTATGATTTTTTAGAATTTAAAAAAAAAAAAAAAAATTTAAATTTTACATTTTTTTGCTACATCTGCTATCTACATCTACATATACAATGTATATTATACATCTAACATGTAAATTGTACATGTTCCATTTAGATTCTACATCTCCTCCGCTAGGGGTTGCTCGCGCACTGAACGCGGCAGAGTGTGCGAGCGAGATGGAAAATGAGTTGTGTTGTCGTTTGCTGGAGGGGGCAGGGTAAGCAACTGAAAATTAATTTCTTCATTCTCGCTATAATTATGATCCGATCTGATTCAGATTCGGCAGTCTGGTAGATATGGTCATTCTCTACGATACTGCGTTTTTAGTTTTATCGTATCTTTAAATTTGTGGCTGCCACAGATTTTCGTCCTTTGCGGGGGCGGAAGGAGGCGGGGCGAAATTTTGAAATACACTGGTAGCAGTGTGATATCACATGAGTCTGGAAACAAAATTTGGTTGCTCTAGCTCTTATAGTCTCTGAGATCTATTCGCTCATCAAGACGGACAGACGGACAGACAGACATGGCTATATCGACTCAGCTATTGATGCTGATCAAGAATATATATACTTTATGGGGTCGGAAACGTTTCCTTCTCTGCGTTACACACATCCACTTTTACCACAAATCTAATATACCCCTTAACTCTTTTTTGAGTACGGGTATAAAAATGTAAAATGTAAAATCGCGAGCAACCCCTAGCGGAGAAGATGTAGAATCTGAATGGTACATCTATAATCTACATGGTAGGTGTATAATATACATTGTATATGTAGATGTAGATAACAGAAGTAGCAAAAAAATGTACAAAATTTTTTTTTTTTTAATGCTAAAATTCTAAAAAATCATATGTTCAAAAATGTAAATACTGACTGAGTATGGGTATAAGTAGAGTCGCGTCTTTAGAAGCGACTCACACGTTCCTTCTCGTTTAATAATAAAATTCTAAAAAATTATAAGCTCAAAAGTGTATGTATATACTGACTGAGTATGGGTATAAGAAAGTCGCGTCCCGAGAAGCGAATCACACGTTCCTTCTCGTTTTTTTTTATACCCGTACTCAAAAAAGAGTTAAGGGGTATATTAGATTTGTGGTAAAAGTGGATGTGTGTAACGCAGAGAAGGAAACGTTTCCGACCCTATAAAGTATATATATTCTTGATCAGCATCAATAGGCGAGTCGATATAGCCATGTCCGTCTGACTATAAGAGCTAGGGCAACCAAATTTGGTTTCCAGACTCATGTGATATCCCACTGCTACAAGTGTATTTCAAAATTTCGCCCCGCCCCCTTCCGCCTCCACAAAGAACAAAAATCTGTGCCAGGCACATTTTTAAAGATACGATAAAACTAAAAACGCATTATCGTAGAGAATGATCATATCTACCAGACTGCCGAATCTGAATCAGATCGGATCATAATTATAGCCAGAATGAAGAAATTAATTTTCAGATGCTTCCCCTGCCCCCTCCAGCCGACGACAACACAACTCATTTTCCATCTCGCTCGCACACTCTGCCGCGTTCAGTGCGCGAGCAACCCCTAGCGGAGGAGATGTAGAATCTAAATTGTACATGTATAATCTACATGTTAGATGTATAATATACATTGTATATGTAGATGTAGATAACAGAAGTAGCAAAAAAATGTACAAAATTTTTTTTTTTTTAATGCTAAAATTCTAAAAAATCATATGTTCAAAAATGTAAATACTGACTGAGTATGGGTATAAGTAGAGTCGCGTCTTTAGAAGCGACTCACACGTTCCTTCTCGTTTAATAATAAAATTCTAAAAAATTATAAGCTCAGAAATGTATATACTGACTGAGTATTGGTATAAGAAAGTCGCGTCCCGAGAAGCGAATCACACGTTCCTTCTCGTTTTTTAATTTTTTCTGGTAAAATACAGTACATATGTCTGGACTCTAGATATCTTTCACCTGTAAAACGAGCGCGAAGAGGGAGTAGGCCGTCTTGAGGGTAGCATAGAAGGCATTCAAATTGAGTTCAATGATGCCACCAGCCTTAATCACACGTCTCCTGCCACTCAACGTGAGTTGCGTGAAGATGAGTAAATCGTGTCGATGCTGCCGCGATTCTTCATACCATTTGCTGGAGAATATCGCATAGGGTAAGCTTTCCAACTCTTCGGCAACGACACTGGCGAAATAGCAGCTGGGAAATAGCTGCACACAGATCACGGCAAAGAATATCATGTAGTAGAGCACTGTGATGATATCCCTCCCATAGAACAGCAGGTACGACACAATCAGGCAGAGACTGGCCCCAGAGCTGCCCAATTGAACGAGCTGTACGACACTTATCGCATTTCGTGTGAGATAATGGAGCCTGTAAGGGACAGAATTAAAGTTCTGGCTAATTAAATGCATATATCTCATACCTCATGAGTGTCTTATGCTGTTCTATGTAAGCACACAGCTGTTGATGGTGATTAACACCAATGGGATTCGCAGCATAGCCCAGCTTTTGCATACGCAGACCCCACATATGTATGTGTCCACCCAAAAAGCAGAGCGTCAGTGGAGCATAGCTGTCATTGGCCAGAGCCTGAGCGCCCTCCAGCAATATGCTGATGCTCTGATAGCCAAGGGCCATCGCAAACAGATATCCATTTGCACGCCAATCGAAGGGAAAATATGCGGGATACAGCAGCTGCCGATCCGCGGAAGCAATTAGAATCAGAATGCTGAGCAGAAACAGTGCGTAGATGATGGCAAAGCTGGCGTACAGACATCGGGTGAAACGTCTCGCATGGCACTGCAAATGATCCGCGTAGTAACGATGCTCCTCCTCGCCATCCACATATCCATCCAGTTCGATGAGCAGCCTCTCGATTTCCACACTATCCTGTAGATGATAAATATGTGCCACATGCTTGAGGCTACAGGCCGCACAAGTCATCGAAATGCTGAGGTTCTGAAAGAGCTCGGCGGAGGTGGGCTGCAGGGCCAGATTAATCAGCAGATGCACTGGAAACATGAAGGTCACGAGCACATGCAGCAGCACCATGTAGATCTGGACAGGACGTTGTGTTGACCCAAAGAATGTCGGTGCCATCAGACGCATGCACCACCAGAACGGCTGATAGAAGCGAACACTGTCGATGATGGCGTCGTTGGACATCGTGAACTTAATGGAACCGTCCGCCACACCTTTGGCACCTTTTATGTGTATTTTGTGGCATGAAAACACACTGGGAGAAAATCAGTGCAAGTGAATTGTCTGTTCAAAGTGCATTGTGTGTGGATATTTTTGTCAGTGTCGACTAAATGACATTTAAACGGCGCCAATGCAATTTTCATAAAGCCTCCCGTTAATGGTCGACCATTAAGTGGTAATTAAAATTAATTGAATATTCAAGTGTCCACTCATTTTCGCAGCGACATGGCCAGGGTAAAGAAGGAGTAGGCCAATCGTATGGTGGCAAAGAATGCGTTCAAACTAATGCCAATCATTCCGCCCGCCTTGAGCTCCACCTTCGCCAGAGTCAGTTGCATGAATATCAGCAGAGTGCGACAGTATCCGCGATCCATTCCCACCCAATTGCTGGAGAAGATGGCATCCGTCAGTCGATTGAGCTCCACAGAAATCAGAGTCCCGTAGTAGCAGCTGGGAAACAGCTCCACGAGCATCGCCACAAAGTAAACGCCGTAGTAGGCCATAGCGAAATTGTTTTCCGCAAAGAACAGAATGTTGACGAGCGTAATGGAAATGCTGATGCCACTCGCGATAAATTGTCCAAATTGCGAGAGATGCATAGTGCTATGCAGCAGCGAAAGCAGACAAATTTGAAGCTGGCAAATAAACAGGCCGCCGTGATTGGTAATCCCTTGCACACATCTCCCAATTTTGTCTCATAAAACAGTCCCGCAATCAAATGAATCGGATACCAGAAGGTAAAAAAGATTGTGATAAGGATATCGAGTATATAACGAATCGCATGTTTCCGCTCCACACCTAACAGACGCCAATAGAGCCAATAGGTCCTGTATATATCTTCACTCCTGACAACCGGCGAGGATAAATCCATTTTCGAAACAGTGGAGCAGCCATCATGACACTTGCCGTTTTATAGAATCGGTGAAGGTGATAATTATAGTCAACCTGTTAGACGCCCATCATTAGATGTGGGTCCACCCACATTTATCTATACCCAATCATTATCATTATTTGGGTTAAACACTAAGCAACTGAACCTTCTGATGGCAGGCGTTTTCACGCTATGTTCTCGCTTTTTAGGCATTTTATGAGTACCCAGCCGAGAACAAGCACGAGTTTTAATGTTATAAACGAGATTTTTTCAAACGGTATTTCAATTTTCTTTAAAGTTATGAAAGCATATAGTGAAGCGTATACGACTGCATAAAATATCTATGCATGAATGGTTTTCTGTTTTTAAAATATAAAGAGTTTAAAATTTTGAAGAGATGGGTTTGCGCATACAGAATTATGCATCTAATATTTTCAGTTTTTTATACCCGTACTCAAAAAAGAGTTAAGGGGTATATTAGATTTGTGGTAAAAGTGGATGTGTGCAACGCAGAGAAGGAAACGTTTCCGACCCCATAAAGTATATATATTCTTGATCAGCATCAATAGGCGAGTCGATATAGCCATGTCTGTCTGTCCGTCTGTCTGTCTGTCTCGATGAGCGCCTAGATCTCAGAGACTATAAAAGCTAGGGCCACAAAATTTGGTTTCCAGACTCATGTGATATCCCACTGCTACAAGTGTATTTCAAAATTTCTCCCCGCCCCCTTCCGCCCCTACAAAGTACGAAAATCTGTGGCAGACACAATTTTAAAGATACGTTAAAACGCAGTATCGTATAGAATGACCATATTGCCGAATCTGAATCAGATCGGATCATAATTATAGACAGAATGAAGAATTTTCAGTTGCTTCCCCCACCTCCTCTAGCAAGAGACCACGCTCATTCTCTTACTCATTCTCTTTCTCGCTCGCACACTCTGCCGCGTTCAGTGCGGGAGCAACCCCTAGCGGAGGAGATGTATAATCTAAATGGTAAATGTGGAATCTATATGTTAGATGTAGAAAATACATTGTAGATGTAAATGTAGATACCAAATGTAGCAATAAAATGTAATATGTAATTTTTTTTTTTTTAATTCTAAAATGCTAAAAAGTCATAAGCTCAGAAATGTATATGAAATGTATAATACTGACTGAGTATGGATATAAGTAGAGTCGCGTCCCGAGAAGCGAATCACACGTTCTTTCTCGTTTTTTAATATTTTCTGGTAATATAGAGTACATATATTTATTTCTTTTTTTATTTTTTAGTGAAATAAATAAACTTTTTTATAAGTGATAATAAAAATATTCTTTAAACATCCAAAAAATATTAGAGACGAGAAGGAACGTGTGAGTCGCTTCTGTGGACGCGACTCTACTTTTATACCCTTCTCAGTCAGTATATACATTTTTGAGCTTATGATTTATGTAGAAAAAAAAAAAATGTTATATTTTAAATTTTTTTGCTACATCTGTTATCTACATTTACATCTACAATGTATATTCTACATGTACCATTTATATTCTACATCTTCTGAGCTAGAGGGCGCTCGCGCACTGAACAAGGCAGAGTGTGCGAGCTAGAAAAATAATGAGTAGCTGGTCTCTTACTGGAGGAGGTGGGGGGCGCTCATCAAGACGGACAGACGGACGGACATTGCTATATCGACTCGCCTATTGATGCTGATCAAGAATATATATCATTAATGAGGTCGGAAACGTTTCCTTCTCTGCGTTACACACATCCACTTTTACCTCAAATACAATATACCCCTTAATGGTTTTTTGAGTACGGGTATAAAAGTACCAAATAGATTTTAGAAAAGAGTACCAGGAAAAATACAGAAGAAATATTTTCACAAAAAACTCGTTCTATGCGTTATAAATGACATTGTTGAGTCACATATTTATATCACAAATTAAGGCACAATGATATATAAGCCAGCATTATGCTTTTACTTTATGTGACAAAAGCAAGCAATTAGGATCCACAATAATAAATTCACTTCAGATATGTAAGCTACCATAAACCTACTTATGCTCTATTTTCAGTAAATAATTTCGTGATTAAATCCACTCATTTTCGCAACGACAAGACCACAGTGAAAAATGAGTAAGCTAATCGTATGGTCGCAAAGAATGCATTCAAACTAATGCCAATCATTCCGCCCGCGGTGATCTCCACCTTCGACAGAGTCAGTTGCATGAATATCAGCAGAGTGCGACAGTATCCGCGATCCATTCCCACCCAATTGCTGGAGAAGATGGCATCCGTCAGTCGATTGAGCTCCACAGCAATCAGAGTCCCGTAGTAGCAGCAGGGAAAGAGCTCCAGGAGCATCGCCACAAAGTAAACGCCGTAGTAGGCCATTGCGAAATTGTTTTCCGCAAAGAACAGAATGTTGACGAGCGTAATGGAAATGTTGATGCCACTCGCGATAAATTGTCCAAGTTGCGATAGATGCATAGTGCTGCGCAGCTGTTGAACGACTCTGAAAGATATATCTATAGAACTAAGAAAGTGGCGTTGAGGCGCGTCTAAACCATTAGACGTGCAGAATTTACTGTTTCCATTTTTCCGTTAATAATACCGACGGATATGGCATGCCTTGTTTCTGAGTGGGCCACTGCCGGGGGGGACACCGAGGTCAGTGGTGCAGTTTAGGTTAGATAGGCGCATATGGACGGACGGACAGACAGCGGACGGCAAGCGCGCCCCCGACTCTTCGAGTACCTGGTATAAAAATGAGAATGGCGTTTTCAGTTATATTCGTACTTCATTATCTTTCTGTGATCCTCAATATTCTCTACCAACTCTCTGACGACCATCTCTTTCGATGATTTATTATCATATCCCATTCGACTCAAACGCATGGATAGGAGTCTCACATGTCCAGCAACCACACAGAATGTCATTGGGGGATACGAATCATTGGCCAGATTCTGCACAATTTGTATACTAACGCCAGCAATTTGATAGGCCACACTAAGCCAATAGATCTGTCCCGATGCCTGAACATCATAGGGAAACCATGCAGGATATAGCAGCTTGTGACCACTGCCAAATAGAACGGAAGCTATGGCCGCCGTATTCGACAATCCGTAGGCGACAATGAAACTCTTCCACACAAAATTCGCCTCACGTTGGGTGTTTCGATCAAAGAACGCCCGCTCCTCCTCAGTCAGAGCTCGCTGATCCAATTCCAGGAGCAGTGCCTCGATGCTCTTAATTTCCTGCAGTTTCCAGCGAAAGCAGACAAATTTGAAGCTGGCAAATAAACAGGCCGCCGTGATGGGTAAACCTTTGCACACATCTCCCAATTTTGTCTCATAAAACAGTCCGGCAATCAAATGAATCGGATACCAGAAGGTAACAAAGATTGTGATTAGGATATCGAGTATATACCGAATCGCATGTTCCCCCTCCACACCCAACAGACGCCAATAGAGCCAATAGGTCCTGTATATATCTTCACTCCTGACAACCGGCGAGGATAAATCCATTTTCGAAACAGTGGAGCAGACATCATGACACTGGCCGTTTTATAGAATCGGTTAAGGTGATAATTATAGTCAACCTGTTAGACGCCCATCATTAGATGTGGGTCCACCCACATTTATCTATACCCAATCATTATCATTGTTTGGGTTAAAATGTTAACACCTGCGAAACTGTCTGGCACCTAAAGACTCTGTGGGAAGCTCCCCTTGTCTGGCATTTTCACGGCAAATTCTATTTATTTAAGCCTTTTACGAGTAGCCAGCCCATGAAGAGTACGGGTTTTAAATTATGCGTCTACGTACCCATAAAATATGTATGAATGGTTTTGGGTTTTTTAGTAAAATAATATCTCATTTCTTGATGAAATGTTGGAGTTTTGTTGGGGTAATAAAAAAATAATGTTAAGTATTCAGATCAACTAAAGGTGTGACCAGTTGTATGCTGCACGGTTACACTTTTTTGAGTGTTGTATACAAATGTAATCTGCACAGATGATAATATGTAGGTTATACAAGTAGAGCCGCGGCACACGCACGCGGCTCACAACGTTCTATCTTATTTTAAACATGGAGGAGAGCTACTGATATACATATGTACATTGTTCTGGTTGAACGCTCCACTGATTTATGTGGTATTCATTAGTTAAATATTTTCAAAGTATCATTAATAACACATTAACGATTAATTGCTCTAGATATCACAAAAACCAAAAATTTGTTTAATATATATTCAATAATATAAAAGCAGTCTCTTTTTGGTGGACCACATTTGTTTCGGACTATTCAGCAGTCACGATGTGCTCCAAGTTCTCTGCATTTTTCTCGCTGCTTCTGCTCGCATTCGAACTTACTCAAGTAGGTTCCAGTTTTTAAATTCGCTACCCCCACTAACAAAATATATGGTTAGACATACACAAAATTCGAGTTTACCAACGTCATCTGCACTTGTTTGGACAAATCATTTTTGTCCTTCGAATACTGCTACCTGAAGTCTATCAATCGGACATACAAGTTTGGATCGATAAAAGTGAATCTCTATAAAGCGCCTGTTTCCAAGATTCGCGTAGGTCTACATAAAAAAAACCAAAAGCTAATCTAGAATGACAATGTATAAGCACCTTTCCCATTGTAGCTTAATCTAGCAATTTACCAACGCTTGAACGGATATAAACCGTTTCTGTACAACGTCACAATCGACGCCTGTAAGTTCTTAGCCAACAACAAGTCTTCTCCAGTGGCTAGATTTATTTTTAACCTTTTTGGTCCATACTCAAACATAAACCATACGTGCCCCTATAACGTAAGTACAAATATAATACTTCAATCGATCAGAAAATGTCAACAGTTTGATTTGCTCGCAGAATCCTATTATAGTTGACAAGGCTCCTACTTCTCACATGGACTATCAGTTGACAAATGTTTTACCATTTCCCAAAGGACAATATGGCTTCCACAGTATTTGGACTGTGTATGGGATACAGCGAGCCCATGTAAATGTATATGGTACTCTATCATAGTTTTATATTTGTTAGTAAAGCGCGTCTGGTCTTCCGCTAAAAAAAATATATTAAAATTTAAATTGGCCTACTAGGTGCTGGACAGATGACTAAATAGAGCTTGTTCTGAATAAAATGGTTATGGTCATTCTCTACGATACTGCATTTTTTTTTAATATGTATATAGTGTTTCTTTTCCCATAACTTAAGTGTCTTATATCTAGAAAGGTGATAAATGCAGCTATAAAAGTAGTCTGAACACTTTGTAGCTTCAGCTTACCGTCTGGGAAATCTCAAACTTTTAAATACAATATTGAAAACTCAGGCCAAGTCGAAATAAAAAAATTATGGATAAACGGTGGAGCTACAATTGTTGGAAAATAATTCTTAAAAAAATTTAAAGCCTCTGGCTATATTAGATAAAGTCGATTTGGTTCGAAGCTTATGTATATAAAATGTTATATTTTGTTGAGTAGTGTAATCATCGGTAATAATAATTATTCATAATATCTATTAATGTCCACAATGATTATTATTATCCATGATGATTGTTTTTGAGCAAAACAAAATAAAATTAAAAAGTAATGATTATTTAATGATTTTTTATTTGTTCGATCAAAAAAAAAAACCCAAAGTATAATAAAGAAATGGTGGGGGCTGAAAAAATGATGTACATAAATATTTTTATTAAAATTTATTATTTTATTAAAGTGCACATCACATTCAAAACTATTTTTGAGATATTTCTAGTCTTCCAAATTGAACAAGTGAAACAAGCCTGGAATGCAAGAGCTAGAAACCCTTTAATTTGTTTGTCTACCAACAGATCCAATAAAAGTCGTTAGGAAAATATTTTAGATTTCCCATTAAAATATTTAATTTGTGTCTTTTTTTTCAGTGTTGAATCAAGACACCCCCAGGGTGCATGACATTTAAGCGGCCACAATGCAATTTTCAGAAGGCCTCCTCCATTAATGTCCGGCCATTAGGTAGTAATTAAAATTAAACGAATATGCGCGCGGAATGCCACTCATTACCGGAACGACATGGCCAGGGTGAAGAAGGAGTAGGCCATTTGTATAGTGGCAAAGAACGCGTTCATGCTGATGCCGACCATTCCGCCCGCCTTGACACCCACCTCCGCAAGCGTGAACTGCATCAGAATGAGCAGAGTGCGGCAGTATTTACGGCCCATTCCAAGCCAATTGCTGGAGAAGATGGCATATGGCAGCTTATTGAACTCCATGGCCATCAAAGTGCCGTAGTAGCAGCTCGGAAAGAGCTCCAGCACCATGGCCATGAAGTAGACCACATAGTAGATAATCGCAAAGCTGTTCTCCGCAAAGAAAAGTATGTTAATGAGGACTATGGAAATGTTGATGCCACTGGAGATGAACTGCCCCAGCTGTGACAGATACAGTGTGCTGTGCATCAAGCGGACAATTCTGAAAGGAAAATAAAATAAATAAAAGATGAATGTCAGTGTTTGAGTAACGGATCTTACTGCATTAACTTCCTGTGATCCTCGATATTTTCAATGAGTTTTTTTGAAGCCCCTTCATGGTGTCCCATTTGACTCAAACGCATGGATAGGAGTCTCACATGTCCAGTAACCACACAGAATGTCATCGGGGGATACGAGTCATTGGCCATATTCTGCAGAATCGTAAGACTCGCTCCAGTGGCCTGATAGGCGAAGCTAATCCAATAACTGAGGGCTGAGGCCTGAACATCGTAGGGAAACCACGCAGGATACAGCAACGTTCGTCCGCTGCTGAACAAACCAGAGGCTGTGCCCGTCACGGTGGCCGATATGCCAGCTGCCACATAACTTTTCGAAATGAATTCCGCCACACTGCGCGTATTCTGATGAAAGAATCTACGCTCCTCTGGACTTGCGGCTCTCTGATCCAATTCCATGAGCAGCCGTTCAATTTCCTTGATCTCTGATAATCGCCTACGAAAGCAGATTATTTTGAAGCTGCAGAAGAAACTTTCCGCCGTAAAGGGTAGATTCTTGAACACATCCCTCATGGTCCGCTCGCGGAACAAGCCAATGATTAGATGTGTGGGATACCAAATGGTCACGAAGAAATTGAGCATTACATCGAGTAAATGTCGCATTGGATACTCGCCCTCGACACCCAAGAGACGCCAGTAGAGCCAATAGGTTCTGTAGATACGGTCACTCCTGACAACCGGTGGGTCCGCCTCCATGTTCACGACAGTTCAGGGTCCTCCAAGTTGGCTGTGGGTTTTATAGTCGGTTTTTGGGAATAATTAATTAAGACACCCTTTGCTGGATAGGCGTAATTGTTGAACCCATAATTACACCTAATTAGTTTTTAACCATTTGACACTTGGTGTTTAAATAACTAAATATTTAAATGTGTGAATGAACCGACTTTTAATTGGAAATATTAATTCCTCTGCAACACCTACACGGAAATCGTTTCTTAATAGTATAGTTTGTATTTTATTTATATGATGTTGCCCACACTGAGAGAAATCCCTTTAATGGTTAACCAAAACGAGATATTTATTTGATTTCTCTGAAATCTTATTTCATGGCTTGAAGGCTACAAGTAAATATATGAGACAGCCTGCTTCTTGTACTAGTAAGTAACTAAATAGGATCCACAGTAATGACTTCACTTCGGATACGTAAAACAAAATAATCAAATTTTTTACAAAGTGTTTGCTTTGTTGCCAGTGAAATATAACAGCTGTATTATAATTATTTAGGCAATGGGAATAAGTGACAGAGGAAAAAAACATTGCGAAATACTCATATTTTAACGCAACGACAAGACCACAGTGAAAAATGAGTAAGCCAATCGTATGGTGGCAAAGAATGCATTCAAACTAATGCCAATCATTCCGCCCGCGGTGATCTCCACATTCGCCAGAGTCAGTTGCATGAATATCAGCAGAGTGCGACAGTATCCGCGATCCATTCCCACCCAATTGCTGGAGAAGATGGCATCCGTCAGTCGATTGAGCTCCACAGAAATCAGAGTCCCGTAGTAGCAGCTGGGAAACAGCTCCACGAGCATCGCCACAAAGTAAACGCCGTAGTAGGCCATTGCGAAATTGTTTTCCGCAAAGAAGAGAATGTTGACGAGCGTAATGGAAATGTTGATGCCACTCGCGATAAACTGTCCAAGTTGCGAGAGATGCATAGTGCTACGCAGCAGTTGAACGACTCTGAAAGATATATTTATGAGGTTAGATATGGAATGAAGACAGATATGTTCAGATATATTCGTACTTCATTATCTTTCTGTGATCCTCGATGTTCTCTACCAGTTCTCTGACGATTCTTTCTTTTGATAATTGCTCATCATAGCCCATTCGACTCAAACGCATGGATAGGAGTCTCACATGTCCAGCAACCAGACAGAAAGTAATTGGTGGATACGAATCATTCGTAAGATTCTGCAGAATTGCCAGAGAAACGCCAGCAGATTGATAGGCCACACTCAGCCAATAGATGTGCTCCGATGAGTGAACATCATAGGGAAACCAACCGGGATATAGCAGCTTTCGGTCACTTTGAAACAGACCGAAGGCTGTGCCCGTTATAATGGCCAATACGGCAGCCGCGAGAATACATTTCCAAATGATATCAGCCACACGTAATGTGTCCCTGTGAAAGATCTTACGGTCCTCTGCAGTTTCGACTCGCTTATCCAAATCCACCAACAGTTGTTCGATGGTCTTAATCTCGTCCATTTTCCAGCGAAAGCAAATGATTTTGAAGCTTGAAAAAAAACAGGCAGCCGTGATAGGTAGACCTCTGCAGACCTCAGCCAAGGTTCCGTCGCACATAAGGCCAATGATTAGATGTGCGGGATACCAAATTGTCACGAAGACAAACTGTATAACAACAAGTAGATATCTGAGCGGATGTTCGCCCTCGACACCTAGCAGACGCCAATACAGCCAGTAGGCTCTATAGATATAATCACTGCGGATAACCGGCGAAGACAACTCCATGTTCGAGACAGTGTAAAAGCCGTTGCACAGTTTCGGTTTTTATAATCAGCTCTGGGGAATTATTAATTACTCATAATTACACATAATTAAACATAGCTTAAAAATATAACACCTGTGTTGTAATAATCAATAATAGGCAAAGAATTAATTAGAAAAGAGTTGTCTGGAGGAGTGTGAGGATAGACAGTCTGTCTGCCTTTGCAGCCCCTTGCTTTCCTCTCCTAGTAAAGTGCTCGCATATAGGGCAAGGGTAAGGGCATTCCTTTAAAAACGCTTCTCTTTTTCTTGTAATATCTGTTTTATTAGCAGGGAGCTCCGTTGCAGCTTCAGCGTCACGAACAAAGTTGCCTTAATTTGACATTAATATCTTCCAGTTGCAGTTGCAGCTGCTGCTGCTGCTGCCAAATGACGGTGCAAAGGGTGAGGATAAAGTTTTTGCTGCCGAGGTCATTTATGGCTTGAAGAAGAGCCATAGAGACCGACGAGAAGTTGCATATTTTGCACTCGTTTTATGGCCTGTACTTTGAGTCTCATGATTGCTTTATGACCGCCCAACCATCGATAAATTTTGCATGCAAATTTCAGCAGGCCAAGACGTGGTTTTAGCTGACATTGTCTTCAGCAGACAAAAAAAAGAAAAAAAAAAAGCAGGAAAATGCCTCCCTCCTTTGAAAAGAAGCGACCTTAGAGGAATAAAAAAACATGTCAAGAGCATTTTACGCTTACTTATCTGCACATCCTCCCATTTCCCCCCGTTCTGTGTGTGTGGATTTTCACCCGAAAAGTTCATTTTTTGTTCGTTTTGTTTAACTCTGCGTACACGTAATCACGAAATGAGGAAATGAGCAACTGTGACAATGACGTCAAAATACCGCAAAATAAAATGTGGAAACAAAAAGTGGGGCAAAAACGAAAAGTCCGAAATGTCTGCACTTTGTGCTGTCCTGTAAAGGACACTTAAGCGCTTTTATTCCATGTAGGAGCAATGTATTAAAATCCACTTAGAAATCAATTCATATTTTATTTATTTCTTTCAATTTATAATGTATTATAATTTATTATATAATTTTATGTCAACAATATAATTCGTGGTCAGAAATTTCCTATCATCAACTCCAAGTACCACGTTCGATGTCGGCTTTCAGATTTTCCTCTCTCTTTTAGGATCCTCTCTCTGAACGAGTCTCGCGAATCTCGCTCTCTCCCTAAAAGAAGGGACAAATAGAAACATTCTCCCACTCAATTGAAGCAATAAAATAAGAGAATGGCAAGAATAACGGACAGCCACATAGCAGACATAATTAAAGTCAGTTAAAATAATACACACCCAGCGGAAGAACATACACTGAGAACAATCTTGTTGTTCGTTCATGCACAGCCAAATTACTGAGAATATGCAGTATGCGATCCAACACACACAAAACCAATATACCCTTACTGCCAATGGGCATAATTAAGAGAAAGGGCAGCTCAAACTTTTTGCGGTTTCTCTACCCCACTTCACGGTGGGAAAAAATGTTGCAAAAGTTATTTGATTTGGAATTTTTGTTAAAGTTTCTTCCCTTTTCTATATGACTTTCGACTGCTATGAATGTATTTTACTGTACAACTAAATTAATGAAAAATCACAACTGTGTGCAAAATGTAATTTAATCTGATATCTTCTTTTTTTTTTGTGTGCTGTGACGAGGCTCGAGGGCAAATGGGGCACGTGGCATTTTATAAACTTTGGCTGTGAGGAGTCAATGGAGTGAGTTCTGCTTTATCGGGCGAAACACTGACAGTTTTCCAACATTTATCAAATGGAAGAAGTCGCACATCTGTGTTTCACAGAAAACTTCGAACTTGTCGTATTGTTTGTGCTGTAATTTATTTGATTTTTCTTCTTAGATCTTTTTTGTGTAAGTGTCTGGTTTTTATTAGCATATCGAACACCATTCCACCGCACACAAAGCAAACAAGAACGAAAGATCAAGTAAACAATTAAATGTTCATTTGGAAATTGGTGCAATAAGTTTCATTTAATTTAATAGTTTAATGCTCATAAAATGCTCATCCTTTTTATCTGCTGAGCCAACTGTTAGCCCAATATTCGTATTCAAGAAAGACAAGTGAAAATAGAAAAGCTATAAATTACAGAAATAAAACCATGTCTCTGTTCATGAGTGGTTTATAGTTTTAAGGAAGCGAAAAGACTACAAAAAGGCTTGGAAAATACTGCGTGAATTTCTGCAAAATTGGCTTAACATTATTTGATATTTATATTTGAATATATATGAAGCAAAACTTTGCATTGAATTTGGATCTTTTAAATGGGAAGTATCTTCCATTTTATGTACTTTTTTTTTTCTGAGAAATACTCTATAAATGTAATTGACAGATAGGTTCGATATTGTGGGATTTATTATGGCCTCCGATTCTTGTTTTTCCTTAAGCTTTCAATGTATGTTTAATCTGTTGTTTATTTCCGTGTTCGAGGGGCATTGTGTCAAGTATTTATCGCTTTATCGCTCGTTCCGTGATGCTTTGTTCAACTCGCAATTTCAAACAAATTTCCACTGCGGATATATCGTACATTTTCCCAAGAACAGCGCACCACAAAATTGTGTATATGTTTTCGATTTGGTTTTGATATTTTCTAATTTTTTAACCACCAGCAGGTTAAGGGGGGCAAAGTGGAGCAATGAATTGCCCAGCTGCGTTTGCCTGCTGTTTGTTTACTTCGTGTCTAGACGAGGGCTGGAGAGGGGTTATCTGTGTGTGCTGCAATCAGAGGAGTAGCGCGAAAAAGGGGTTCATGAAAGTTGGGAGCATTTTATTTATATTTAATTTGCCACAAAGATTCCAATCCCCTTTTGGGGCTACGCTCCGCTTCAGACTCTCGTATTCTGTGTATCCGCAGTACTTGTGGCAAACTCTGCTAATCGTCTAATTTTATCATGTGGTTTTCCCCATTTAAGTGCCGCAAAGTGTTGAACGATTTGTAGTGTAGCTCTTTCCTTCTCTTTCTGTTTTTTCCCAAACCACATGCCCAACATTCCCCCCTCATTCGCTCATTTACTCTCTCATGGAATTCTTTTGGGTTGCATTTTTTCTTTGCTTATCATTAGGGTAAGTGCTTGCTGCACATTTGACCTTGCCACGCCTACTCATTAGAGGGTGAATAAATGAATGAATTTTGCACCCAACAGAGATTTCAGTCTGTATGAAAATTAATTTGACTGTGTGGAAAGGGGATGTCACGCGCTTTACATATTTTTCATGTTCTCAAATTGCGCATACGCCCTGTCTGCCTGGTTGCCTGGCTGGATGGCTGCCACGCTGGCTGTTGGCCCAAACGGCAATCAATCAAATGCCGCCCGAATCCGATTGCGGGCTGTCTGGCTCCCTGTTTTTGGTCCGTGGCTCATCTGTGGAATTCGTAGAATGTTTCCGGTTAAAATTTAGCATAGCACGCGCTTCGCACCAAAAGTTTTGCTTAGTCAGAGGCGAGTCCGCCTACGACCCAGAAGTTTGCCCTGCCACCGAAATGGAATTATGGAATTATTTCGAATGATGAAATAACTTCTATTCACGCTTAAAGATTTGTTTTGGGATACAAAGAAGTTTTGCTGAGATTTGGTTTAACTTTTGGAGAGTTTTCAAAGGGAAATATGGTAATACGTAAATTCAAAATGGAATATGGCTTTCAATGGCTTCAACAAGGCAACTTACTCTATCTATACGGCATCTACCGCATAAATTTAATCCCCTTTTGAGATGTAATGCTCATTGAAACCCTGACACATGTTGGTTTATTGATCCGTAATCCGCTAATTCCCATTCAATTTCACACCCTTCTCAACGATTATCTTGCCTGGACTAGCCCCATCCAATCACTAGACTTATCCCCATCCAATACCTACACTTATCCCCATCTGTCTCGATCAGCTGCGGCGTTTATGTTTCCAACTGTCAAATTCTAAACCTTTAATTTGCTCTTTTTCTATATGCTAGTTGGGAGCGTTGTTCTGTTAACACACGCCCACAAATGCAGACATTTCAATTGGCGCTGCCGCCCCTCCATGCTGCTGTCAGTGCCAAACAATGTTTTGGGGTCAAGCATTGCGTACGGAACATTATTTGGCAATAAGAACATTGCACGAACGACTGGGTTCCGAGTCTTGGTGTGTTCAGCTCTTCGAGAGCTTCCTGCCTGCCGCATGCTCCTTCGACATATTCATGTCGACGTAGTCGTCATCGTAGCCGTAGCACAAAGCCTATGAAATATGAAGCAATTGACGTGAAATTGATTGTTCTGCTCCAAGCTGTGCGTGCCCTGCTCTTTCTCCATCTTTCTCTTTCGCCGGCTCTTCTCTTTCTCTCATTTCTCTCTCTATTTCGCCGGCTCTTCTCTTTCTCTCATTTCTCTCTCTATTTCTGCGATGGCATCTTGCGGTTTCCCGTTTATTAACTACAACCAACCATAAACTGCAGGGCATCCAACTAACCTCCCCTTTTCCACATGCCGCATCATCCTTAACTTCTCCACCAGAGGCTTGTGTGTCTGCCACTTCTACGTGTGCCACACTTTTGCCTCATGGACGCCTGCCTCTCTCGCTTATCGCTCATTTTACACGCTGCCAGCTATGCTAGGCGTTGCCGCAAAATTCCTTTCAGTTGGCATATTTTACGTGCCAGAACGACGACCGGGAGTGCTCCTGAGTGCTCCGCTGCCAAGGATTACTTCCCACTGGCACTCATTACTTCGTCAGTTCTCCATCGAACTATTTGTATTTGCAGGATTCTATGCCATGCTCTGGCGTTCGTTCCCTTAATTAATGTGATGACTTGAGGGGGTCAAACAAAAGGTCCAGAGCATCATCAATACATGGGGGCGAGCAATCACTCATCACGAACTGAAAAGGGCACAGGGTTAGTAATGATTGAGGAAGGTGAAAGCCATGTATTTCAAATGGGATTCAAATGGGAGAGTTCAAGTTGTTCCTTCCGGAAGGATT